ATACTGTGCCTTAGGGATTAAGTTCTCTATGCATACTTCTCAGTATAGAGCTATCTTCTTGTCTTCACATTAGCACATTAATAAAGTGAATCAACTGATTGATTTCATTTTCATATGTTGAATGAACTAATGAATCAGCAATGTTGAAGTAATTTCAGAATGAAACTAGTACACAAGCATTTAGAAAACAATAAACATGTCGGACAGACAAACAAAATCGACATAAAACCACCTGGCACACAAGTCAACAGGTTCAAGTTGCCACACTTCACAGTAATTTACATAGAACAGCTGGATAGAAAAACAGTGATACCAACGTAGACAAAGTTATGTGAGAGAATAAACAATTTGAAGACTACGGCTAAAGATTCAAGGAGTGAATACATCTGTCATATCACCAAGACTCCTCAACCACTGATTCCTATCGTCCTAAGGATCCCAGTCGGGTTAGTTTAAATCTCTTAAAATGACTCAGACCAACAGTTAGGAATTTCGTCGACTGGTGCTATATCTTGGTCTGGCCACCCTGAACTCTATTCCAACCTAATCCAACTTCCCGCAACTTGGTACATCGAGGTATGCAGTGGCTCGACATTCGCAGTACATGCCCAAGCCATCTCAGTCGACTATGGTTCACTACCTTATCAATCCACTTGCCTGCCTGTCTTGTTTAGTATCCTTCACCTAACCTCAACATTGCTCACACGGGGATTGCATTATATACGAGCAATCCTACGAAGACATGTAAGATCAAAGCCTGTAACCGCTGCATATCTTCATCTTTGAACGGTCATTTCTTACAGCTGTACAACAGAAGATAACGGATTTCAGTAGGATAGTATACTCGACCTTTGATAGGTATTCGGATATTTCACTAGTCGCCGCAACAGATGATGCAAGTTGATAAATGCGAAATGTGCTTTTTTTTATTCAATATTCGATTTCGTCAGTAACTAGAGCGCTTGCGTTAACGTAACTCCCTACGTAAGTGAAGTGGTTGATATATTCCGCCATTCCACTCCATATCATTAAACTGAGAGTACTTACAGATTAGTTCTGTAGCATCCATCAGACATTTGGTACAGGTATCAAACTCATGTCAAACATACTCAGATCTCTGCTCAACGTGTTCAAAAGACCCAGCATTTTGTTTCATCATTCGATTTCGGCAATATATTTGACATGAACATGGTTTGTTCTTATGCTGTACACTTGCATTTTATACTTGTAGAAACTCATAACAACTTACTGAAAAGAATAGTACTCCTTCAGATTGTCATTCCTTAATAAAGTTTCATTTTACTGTAACCATATTTCAAGGAAATAGATAAATATTCTATCACATAAAGGGATAAGTAAAAGGTAGATGGTGAAAATAAATGGCCAATTTTGTTTTTTTCTTATCTATGCCTAGTCAAAGTTCACATCATTGGGCATTGTTAACTGAAGTAAGTTTAAGATGAAAATAGGTTAGAGGTGACCAGACTAAAATATTGGTAATATTCCATAAAGTCTTTGACTGTTGGGTCTGAACAGTATACGGAAATGTAAACTTTTCAATTGGGATACGTATGTTAATACAACTGGTAGTTGAAGAATCTCTATTAACTGGTTGAAAATCGATCTCAGTGGCACAGATGTATCTGTATACTATTCTCATCTTAAAAATTGTACTGAATCATGTATTTGTTGTAGTATTGCGGCTTTTTATCACTTGTGACTGTTTTCTTTCTTAGTCCTTTATCTATAATCATAGTGCTTTCTCGCTAGATGAGCTGATATAAGGCGGCAGGGGGGGCGGCGGTCACTTGAAGCGCTATGCAGTAATGCTTAGTCCCAAGGTGATACTGATGATGATAATGTCAATTTGAATCAAACAAAAAATGACAGGAAATAACATCAGCAGAATCTTAGAACGAAAAATGTGTTTATTTTTCCTTCCATAGTCATACTCATTCAGTGATGTCTTCCCCCATCCTCCTATGGTGTATGGGAATCCTAGCTGGTACCTTGTCAGATTAATATTGATTACGCCTTGTTACAGAAAATAACAACTCCATAAAACATCCACTACTAAATAACCAACTAATGGTATACAAATAGATGAATACACCTGGGAATAAAATGTATTTAGGCAAACATTGGAAAAAAAATTCAAGCTACACTTTTCTTTAAATCTATTCTGAAGACAATATACTAACTGTGTACTATACTACACAGATTGACCAACATTTCTAAGTCTTCAAATGAAAAGCTGCATAAAAAAACGAAGTGTTAGCTAATGAAGTCCTTCGAAAACTATCAACTGATCATATAAACAGTAAACATCAGTCATCATACGGAACCCCTTATTAATGCGTTAAATTCAGAGTGAAGATTACTGGTCAAAGAGATATTACGGAACTTGTGTCATGATAGCCTAGTAGATAACACTTTGACGTTCCGGGCTTGAGTCTGAGTGGCAACAATATCACTCACTAGGGTACAGGTACATTCAACTGACGACTCAACTAGGACGAAACGCGCGTCCTGAGTTCCATTGCTAGGTACAAAGCAGAAAACAATACAATGAGTAGTCAAGCCGTATCGAGGCGTCCACACAGAAGCTCATCTGCCAACAGAGGTGGACCAATTCGACCCAGTATAGAGACGCGAAATTACAAATACCAATGAACAATATTCACTAAACAGTGAATAAACAACAACTTTCTTACACCATTTTCTTATATATATCAGTCCAACCCTTATATAAATGGTGTTGAATATATGAGTCTGGCTGTTAAACGAAAAGTAACATGGTGAACACGTTTAACGATGATAAAAACGACAGTCACTTCTTGCGATAACCATTACCGATTTATTCCAACTATTGACGTTGAAAAGCGAAGTATCAACGAGACAATATGTCAGATATTGTTATTCCTTCTATTATACTGTCGGTGATTGGACCGAATTGATCAGCCTGTATTGGCATATGGGCTCCTGAGCGGATGCCTCGATATTGTCAGCGTTTTTAATTAAGTGGTAATGATGGATAGTGGCTTGCAGTGGATTCCAGGATGCGTATTTCGTCTCATTTGGGACTCGTCGGCTAGATGTACCTGCCTCCCAGTGGTGATGTTATTTCCACTGGGACTCGGACTCCGGACCGGTCGCTTCAAAGGATAGAGCGCTATCCACTAGACCATTGAGCCATGATAGCCACTCCTTGTGCGATTTTCAATCCCAGAGGGAACAACACCACTGACTGGGAGGCAGGTACATTCAGCTGACGAGTCCCAAACAGGATTAAGTGCGCATCTTGGATTCCACTGCTAGCCACTATCCGTCATTAAAACATGTCAGACAAACTTCAAGTCAATTAGTAACTTTGAAAGACTACTAAAAGGCTTATCTAGACTAACGGATAGTTAGTAGACACCAATCCATCATCTTTCGAAGAGAAAGTATAGAAAACATTTCAGGTTCTAAAACTCAATATGATATTCAACCTAGAGAACGTTCACCTTGCTCCTCTTCTGGACGGAGATGAGATTGCAGTCAAAGAGTTGATCAGGCTGATGGTGCACCGTCCACTTTACTGAGTAGAATCATACTTCGTTGATTGTGCGAAATGGACAGATTACAAAACTTAGAAGAATATCCGGAGTTTCGTTCAGATTATGAATGAGCTGGTCATGCTTTCACTTAGAGATAAATGCTTAAGTAGTTCATCATTTGTTGTTTTTTAGTAGAAGAGCCTCATTCGATTCGTTGGACAGAACCGTGCTAGTCACGGAACCTGAAGGTCATAGGTTCGATCACTGGCGAGGTCATGGATGCCCACTCCTGAAGAGTCCCATACTAGGACAAAACATTTGTCCAGTGTTCCCACGTTTCCAATCTTCCTCTGACTGATGTCAGTCTATGATGAATTCCAACCTGAAACCAATTGATAAATCTCCACAAACCCCCAGATAGAATCTTCCCATGTCGGAGACAAAGTCTCTGAGAAGTTAACCAACTTCCCTGAAGCACTAAACAAAGATACTTAATGCGAAATGAGAATAAACAACTGAATCCTTCCACTGTTTAAAAATCAATAGTTGAGTCATACAATCTCGTTGTGAAGTTAACTGCTGATCATATTTTTGAAATAGTTCTAAGATATGGTGGACAACTTGTATTTCTACCTATGACGGTTAGGTGATGATCCTGCTGGTTAATTACCCTACGATGACGCTTACTCAAGTGAAATATAGTCACAGTTGGACATCGACTCCCATAAATGTGATGCATGCCTCTGCACAATCGACATGCAGAAACTCCTTATTCGTAGTGACCTGATGTGTAGTGAAACTCAAATGATAACTTGACAAGGATTTAGGACATATTTCTCTGATATGTACCAATTTTCTGCAACGCATTTAATCCTAACATTAACATATATTAATGATGGGCAGTGTCTAGTAGTAGAATCCAGGATGCGCATTAACACATATTGATGAGATTGATCCCGTTAACAATTAAGTACTTTTCTGAATATTATATTATGCATAAATTGGAATAATTGAAAATAAGTACTCACAGTATTCTCAGTTTATAACGAGAATAACATAATTAATTACATGTATAACCAATGTTATAGTTTGCCAATTCCCGTCACTGACTGGACAGAAATGATTGACCGCTATTGGTAAATTGGTTCCTACACGGTCGCATAGATATCAACAGTAAGTTAAATTTGATGAGTTAGCAGTTATACAAGGAGTGGCTATCGTTACTCAGTAGCCTAATGAGTAGTGTTTCATTCACCCACTCTCTCTCTCTCACACACACACACACACACGAATGTACACTAGTGCAAGCACATAAAATGAAACCTTGTTAAAGATAAACAAGAGTATATATAAAACATTCCAAATTCTTATTCCCTTCTTTTGTATTTATCTTACCTAAGCAAAATAGTAGGCTATGAAAGATGTATAGCCTTAATAATCACAACAATAAGGTATACTTACCATCTGTATTGTTCAGGTGCAGTGAGATGTGAATTTTCGAAGTAGAGTAATTCAAACTGAAAATAAAAAATGATTTTTTGAAGAAAATAAACATTATATCATAATTTTAATTGTGTGCAGTATCGTCTCATAACGTGTGAAAACTAGAAAATAAATACAATATTTCAAGTTGTTATTCATCGAAGACTGACATCAGTTGGAGGAACAGAAGAAACCTGGGAGCACTGGACAGCCGTTTCGTCCTAGTATGGGACTCCTCAGCAGTGCGCACCCACGACCCCACCAGCAGGGATCGAATCCGCGACCTTCAGGTTCCGCGGCCAGCACGTTACCATTGAGCCACTGAGGTCAGAATCCAATGCTCCATATTTCCAACTTCTGTTAGCTCACGACATAGCGCAAACCGCCGCCCAATGTTATCGTTGAGTATCTGTCCTCACGGCCATCAGGTTTTGACTCCACCGGTCACGACTTCTCATTGGAACTTCAGGAATACTTCTCGAAGCTAGTCACCAATGAGCACCAGTTCAATCAAATTTTGAGCGAGTTGTGGCTCAATGGTAACGCGCTGGCCGCAGAACCTGAAGGTCGCGGGTTCGATCCCTACTGGTGGGGTCGTGGGTGCGCACTGCTGAGGAGTCCCGTACCAGGACGAAACGGCTGTCCAGTGCTCCCAGGTTTCTTCTGTTCCTCCAACTGATGTCAGTCTACGATGAATAACAACTTGAAATATTTCCAAATCTTCACAACTCCCTCAAAATTTAAATACAATACTGTAATGAACAAAGAATAATTCTTTCCAAATCACCTCTTTCTCAGATGTTGAACGCTGAGAGCATAAGAATTGTTAGTTGAGGCCTCTTGGTGATATAGTTGAAAATAGATCACAATGGTGCAAATGTATTTACTCTTTGAAGCTTTCTGAAACTTGAACACTAAGATCAACCTTAATTTTTTAAATTCTCTCTCCCCTTCATACACCTGCTTCTACTTTGATATCATTCTTTTTCTAAACACTTATTCTTTTCATACTAATGTAAGATGTAGCAACTTGAACCAATACACTTTTGTCTAAAGTGGTTCTTCGTTGATTTGTCTATCTCCCTATCTCTCTGTCTTTTGACTTGATGTTGCGATATTCTCTCATCTTAATCGTATTGCTTACTTAAAGATTTTTGAACTTAACACGTATTTGACATTTGAAAATATACTGATATTATCCATTTTCATATTTCTGCAACTACTACCAGTTTAAAGAGAGTGAAGTGATGGAATGCGTCGACCTGAATAGGCTACTTGCTGATGGAATTTCAGCTAGGATACATGAAGCGCATTTGGTAGATGCCGACTTGTGGCATTTGTGGAGCCAACTGCTGAGATATCCAACTACGTGTAGTTAAGGGATGAGTATGTTGCGCTACAGTTCGTCCTACGCTATAGTACAACTATGAAACATGATCGTTGAAAGTGGAAGAAAGGCACAGATTACAAATTTTAGAATATAGGTGTCTTCGCAACATCTCTTGTGTATGGTAGAATCATTCACTCTATGTGAGCAATGTAGAGGTAAGGTGAAGAGTACTAAGCAAGGAAGGCAAGTTAGTCAATGAGGTTTTGAACCGTCACCGACTAGGGTGGCACAGATATGTGTTATGCATGCTGAGTTAACATTCATCGTGGATTTGAGCAATAATTCTTCGAAGACAACTATCGAGATTCCAACATTCATAGACTTTTCTTCCAAATGTTCACCTATATAGTTGACTGTCTCAATAAAAAGGAATACTAATGAATAAAGATGTTACATCCAGTGACATCATAGTTTTAGTCATGATGACAGCATCTTTAATTCTGTTTATAAATTCTAACCCACCTTTCACATTATGTTTCACCACCTGTTTGCCTAGAGGTTGGAAAATAGGCACCAGCCATGTAATCTTAATTTTTGTTCAGATCAATTCATTTTTTCTCTAATTAACTTGCACCTAATGTTGTTACCACACCATTGTTGTATTATGATGCGAAGTTATGAGAGTGAACGAAAATACTGAACGATTAATAGTCGAGGGTTGAGACGATTCAATCCGACCGATTCCCAAAGAGAAATCCAAAGACGAGGAGTAATTAGTACATTTAAAGAGACAGCAGCCAATCAGAACACTAGCGCCTGATACGAAATATGATCCATGCGTAGGAAAACAGTTCAAATCTACCTAGACTGTAAGTATGAAATATATAGGATATAGGCACCCCTAATACATTGTTTATCCTATTCTGCACTAACAGTTCACTATGTTTCATTTCCTTTTTAATTCGAAGCGAACAGAACTCACTTTGTCGCCTAACTATACGTAATCAGACAGCACTGTAAAATCTACTGTCGTTTATAATCATTTACTCTGAGATAATTGATTTTGACAGAGATAGACAAAATTAACACAGGATTTGGCATTGACCGGGTCTTCTGCACTACTGAAAGCATGCAGAGGGATTAACACTTCCCGGTTGCTCACACCATGGAAACTTAGTTTTTCTTGAGGTACATTAAAAAGAAAGGGATAGTGTGTGACCGCAGATCCCAAGGGACATCTACTTCAGGCTGACTACACAGCCTTTTTGTGAATTCTAGATTTCAGTTTTTCCCTTTAACTAGGTCAATGGGGCATGAGGGATTCATATAGCAGCCCATCTGCTAACAGAGGTCGAGCAGTTCGACCCTGTATAACAGCGGAAAATTACAAGTATGAAAACAACAACTAATACCAGTTGCACATGGCGTGGTTCTCATGCCCCAGTAGCCGAGTGGACAACATTTTGGCTCTTAAAGCCATAGGTTCAGTGTCCGAGTCTCAATGAGAACAACATCACTCACTGGATTTCACTGCTAATCACCAAGAAGAATGTAACATCATGACTACCCTGCAGTATCAACGCATCTACATAGAAGCCCATCTGTCAACAGTTGGTGGATGAGCAATAGTAAGGCAAGCTTAAAGGACGATAATATTACCTATAGCAGTACGAACCTCCCCCAGTGTAAATCTATGCACCACTTTCAAGGTAGCTGCTTTACAACAGGGAGAGTGAAGGAGTGTACACAATACGAACACTAACTGAAAAAAACAGTATATACATGAAAGGCTTAAAAGTACAAAAATAAAATCCAACTATAGAGACTGTGATTCACAACCAATCATTAATAAGCAGCGAAGAACTCGCTACGTCACCTTTAGCACCATTGGTTCATATGTTTATTACAGAACATTTGGCATAAACAGTATACAGCAGAAATCTAATTTTTACCTCGAGCATCTTGATATTTAATTCTAACTTAACCTAATAAATCACCACCGATAACGAGACATTGGCAAAGAACAGCTGTCCGACCTAAACTGAAATAAAAGCCAATTTTTAGAACATTAGGCTACAGAATAGTAATGAGGGGGTAGTGGCTAGCAGTGGGATCCACGATGCACATTTCGTCCTATTTGGGACTCGTCAGTTGGATGTACCTGGCTCCCAGTGAGTCATGTTGTTCCCACTACAACTCAAACTCGAGACTGATTCTTCGAACGCCAAGACGTTATCCAATAGACCAACGAGTCACCATACACACATTTTATGCGAATAGTACAGTTTTAGTGTTATTGCTTGTATTATACCGTCGTTGATTGCACCGAATTGATCAGTCTCTATTGATGTATGGGTTCTTGCACGGATACCTCGATATTGCCTGTATCTTTTTAAATTATGGGACGAAATGCGCATCTTGGGTTCTACTGATAGCTACTATCCATCATTACTACATAGTTGAAAAGACACAGGCAATATCGAGGTATTAGCGTAGGAGCCCATATGCCAATAGAGACCAATCAATTCGGTTCAATCAACGACGGTATAAAACAAGTAATAACACATTAGGCTGCAGATTTGCATCAAATCTGAAGACACAGGAGCTGTGGCTTATTGGTTTATGCGGTTGACTTTCAACCAACAAGTCATGGGTTTGAGCCCAACTCCACCGACCGAAAGTCTTTTGAAAACATGAATTGACAACATGCTCATGAACAGACTATCGAGACGTATTCTGAGGTTAACAGGGATTTTATTTTAAAGGTAGTATTCATCACGGAATGATATCAGTTGGAGAAGTATAAAAAATTTGGGAGCACTGGATAGCGTTTTCGTTCTAGCATCGGACTCCTCAGCAGCACACACCCACAACCTCACCAAGGATCGAACTCATGACCTTCAGGTTTCATAGCAAAAGTGTTAATCATTCAACCACCGAGTCGTAGTTCAAGGATTCACAACTCTTTTCTTCTGTCAGTTTTCGATATAGAGCGACTGTCCACCGAAATTAGTAGTTGGCAACCACTTCCCTTCTGATTGGGTCGTCTTAGGGGTCACGGCTTTTCATTAAGACTTCAAGACATCCATCTTGAAGCATGTCACTCACTAATGAGTACTATACAGTTATGTATTTTGAAGTTATTGGGGATTTTAGTTTCTTTCCAGTAATGCTGAGGAGCCCCATACTAGGACGAAACGGCTGTTCAATGTCGCCAAATTTTCAATCATTCCCCTACATATATATATATCACCATTTCAAGTTGATATTCATCATGGAGTGACATCAGTTAATGGAAATGATGTCAGTTCATGATAAACACCAACTTGAAAAATTATTCAATCCCCAAACACCCCAAATTCAATTGATCAAATGCTTATTGGTGACTAGCTTGGAGAGGTGATTCCTGAAGTTCCAATTAGAAGTCATGACTGTTGGGGAAAACCTGATGGTCGTGAGGACAAACACTCAACGACAACATTGGATGGAGATCGCGCTATATCATGAACTGACATAAGTTGGAAATATAGACCATTTGATTCCGACTCAGTGGCTCAATGGTAAGGTATTGGCCACGGAACCTGAAGGTCGTGGGTTTGATCCTGGCGAGGTTATGGTCGCCCACAACTGCCCAATGCCCCCAAGTTTTCAATGTTTCCCCCAAACTCATATCAGTCCGCGAAGTTATTTTTAAGATCTTGACTTAAATAATGCTGCTTGGAACTCATCATATATACTACTGAGACCAGCTTCAGTCGTTTCAAACCACTAACACCCTTCAGCAATGCTCTTCAGTTAGATCGAAGTAATCGACACACATCGAACAGCTGCTTCGCTCGTTTGCGACGAAGAACTTCATCTGTATGCCTGAATCAAATCATCCCAATTTCTTTCTTCGTAGACAATCTGATTATCAAGGTATAATAGTCGTTCTATTACTCACTACTTTTTTTTAAAGTAATCGTTTTATATTAGAATACTTACCAAAGACTGATTGATCAGATATTCAAAGAAATAAACTGATGTCAAGCATAAAAGTGAGCCAAATATGCCCTATATAGATATAAAATACAAAAGAAAAACAAGAGATTAATACAATAAGCAAAAACAATATACAATACTCTTACTATCCATCTCCTTTGTTTCACTTGTACTCACAAGTTCATTTAATGCACTACACGTTGAAAATGTATATTTTCTCCAAGTTAAAACCTCATGCATCAATAAAGCTTTGACTACGATTTCAAATTCTTCTTATGAGTCAACAATTAACTTGGAGAAAACAACTATCTATAGAGATTTTTCAAAAGAATCTTGTAAAATGAAGTGTAGAATAGTCCGAAATGTTTTTTGAAGAGGTCGATCAACACTGTGGTGACTATATATTTCAAAGAGACATCGGAAGAAATAACAAAATTCTCAATGATAATTAATTTACGTTTTTGTCTACTTGGTGGATAGCAGTGGAATCTAGGATAGACGTTTCATCCTATTAGGGAATCATCAGCCGAATTTAGCTGTACCCCAGTGAGTGATTTTGTTCCTTCCAATAAGACTCGAACTCAGTACTTATCACTTCAAACGCCAAAACGCTATCAAACCAGCCACTGAGGGACGAAAGCCACTTCTTGTGCATCGGACATTAATTGTTGTTTGCTACTCATAGTCTCCCGATGCAATACTGAGTCGAATTGCTCGACTACTTGTGGTAGATGGGGTCCCCCGACTGATAGCTGCTACCAAATTACCAAAATGATTCAACCAGTTATGCTGGTGGGACGCTTGTTTCGTCGAGGTCCTATCACACAAGAAAGATTTGTTGGATAGTGGTTGGACAAAAAGCAGTTATCGTTTTAGTGCATATTATTACACTATGATGGGGAGTCTAAGGGCAAAGTTGTGCTGCTGTTAGCTAGATGGGATATGATAGCAGTCGAGTGTTTGCCCTGCATGACCCGCAGTGTTAGCAGTGATGTTGCCTTCCTAACGGGAAGGAGGACGTTGTAAAGGGTCATCCGCGAAAACAACACCCCAATTCCTGGCGACATGCCGATGCTTGCAACAGGGATTCATAGTCATATTCAAAAGCGAAAACCAAAATCTCAAAATTACCATGACGTTATGTGTGACCAGTATCAAGTAAATGTTCTATGGACTCTGCGGTTACAGACTATCCCTTCTCTTTCAAGTAACTCAAAAAGAACAAGCCTTCTACAATATGGGTAGCCGGGAAGTGTCAACTGTCTACATGCTTCTAGTAGCATCCAAGACCCAACCAAGCATTGCTCATCTTCCTCGACTCAATGTCCTCCCAAGTTTTGACTTCCTGATACCAATATTAAGCCTCTTACACCTACTCCATCCTCTCACTCTGCAACCATTGTGAAGGATGAAACCAATCGAAATCTCATTCCCAGTTTGATAAGACCCCGACATCGATTTCATGTAGGAAGTTTCAACGTCCAAACTTTATGCCAAATCGGACAGCAAGCTTCGCTCACCAGAACTCTGGAAGCTTTAGCCATAGATGTGTGATGTGTCTCAGGGACACGCATATAGGACCCCAGTGAAGTTATTAAATTGACCCCACCCGGCCATAGCAGTGAATCTTCGAATTTCACCTTATGAGTATCCGAAAACACAATAAGCAGCTCTCGTGGACTCGCTGATGTTGGCATAACATTGAGTAGTAGAGTAGAAAGTGCTCAATATTGACCGGATACCAGAAAACAGTCGTCTATGTGCTGTTAGACTGAATGGATCGGTAAGGACTAGAAAGGATCGTGAGACTAGGCGATGCCTGTTCACAGTCTCCGCCTGCAGTTCGGATGATGCAAAGGATGAATTGAACGAGAAGCTGTCAACCTTGCTACACAAAGCCTAACGTTCGGATGCAGTCATAATGACAGGTGACGTCAACGCTTAAGTAGGGAAGCTGAGCCAATAGAACAGGCTACTTGGAGTATCTACAGAATCTCATGCCAACGAACCGAAAACGGTAATATCCTGTTGTAATTTTGCTCTGACAGTCACTTGCTTCAAGCCAGCATTAGTTCTAGGTATAAGGATAGGCACTGTCTACCATGGCATCCGCCGACATCAAACCAACGATGGACATAAATAGATCACATTCCAATAAGCTATCGTTGGAGAGGATTGATGGAGGATTGCCGCTCTTTCTGGAGAACCAGTTTGAACTCCGACCAGGCGCTGGGATGGGCTCGTGTATGTCTGCACTCTACTGGTCGCAAGAAGTAGGAGGCAGTAACGCCTACCTGTGTTTGACTGGTAGATGAGGACACCAAGCACGCGTTTAAAGAAGAGTTAGCTAAATATTTATCTAAATGTGACAGCAATGCCCATCTTGAAGAAATCTGGAGTGATACAAAGTCAGTTGTAGAAACGACGGTGAAGACAATTGTTAACCTACACCGGAGTGTTAAGAAACATCAGTAGAGTTCCGCAACGTCATCCAGACTGATTGATGCGAGCCGGCTCTGTCTACGACGAAGAGTGAAAATTACTTAAAAGTAAGTTGACCAAGAGTCCTCGCGTCGAACGTGAACAAAGGTGGGTAGTGAGAGCGACATAGATGAAGACATCAGCGTTAGGTAACATTTGACAACTATTAAGGCTCATTGAGGATACCCGCAAAAAGGAAGACAATGGTGAGTGAGACCATAGCCGAAAAAGATGACACGCTGATAACCTTCCTGGACGCACAGCTATAACGTTGGATGGAACACTTCAAAGCACAGTCCAACCGAACCCCAGCAACACTTCAGTTGCCCAGCATCTAGCCTGAACCTGAATGAAATGCAGATGTCGGTCCTCCAACTCTGCTGGAAGTTTAGAAGGCTATATTAGACATGAAAAGATGCAAAGCAGCAGGACATAACAGTTTGCCACCCTGAAGATAGTATATTACAAATTAAAGTGACAGAGGTACTGTGTAGTTCACGGGAATCAGAGGCAGTGTCGTCAGACTGGTGTACTTCTCTGATCATCTGCCTACAAGGAGGGGGAGAAACCTGGTTTTGAAAACCGTAAGGGAATCAGTTTGAATGACATTGTGTTCAAAATCATAGGATCCATAGTTATCGAACGCCTTACTGGAGCTCGAAAACAACAAACTCGAGGAAACCGGGCAGTTTTCCCATCTGGATGAGAGTACATCCATCATATCTTTACCCTCCGACATGTTCGGGAACACTAACATACCTACTGGCACCCGACACTGGTCATATTTCTTGATCTAAAGGTGGCATTTGACTCCTTCGATCGTGAGGTGTTTTGGCAGTGTCTAACTGTGAAGAGAGTACTGACAAAGTATGTAACGCTAATCAAAATTGTCTACTCGATCTCATGCAGCCATATAAGGGCTTACGCAGAGCTCTTATTTGAACTGAAGACGACTAGTAGTGTAGGCCAGGGATGCTAACTGTCACCGTTATAGAGGTACGAATGAAGATAACCTGAGGTAGGTCTGACTTCACAAGGATTCATCTACTCCCTGGAGGTCATCTGGTTGACTTGGAATATGTAGGCGATGCTGTCCTGCTAGGTGAAGACGCTGACGCAATGCAGGGCCTTCTGGATGCATTGAGAGGAAAAATGAATATGCTTGGCATACGTTTCGCACCTGTCAAATGTGAGATGATGCTCCAGGATCGGTCTGCAAGTACTCCCAGTTAAATGATAAGGAATAAAGTTATGGAATGATTTTACCACTGTTTGCTGACGAAATCTCCGCTTCAATACAGAAGACTTGTTTGGTGTTTGCCAACCTGCGTCATCTGTTACGTCGGCGAGAACTACACAGAACTACAAGTAAACACAAGCCCTCCGACGAAAATGGAAGTCCTGAATGCCATAAGGCTACTCGAAATGCGGGAAAGCAGCAGGATCAGATGGAATCCCGCCAAAAGCACTGAGAGCGGACATAGAGACAACGGCGGACATGCTCACACCACTATTGCAGAAGGTGTGAAAGGAAGGAAAGGTACCTGGCGATTGGAAGAAGGGATATCTTGTCAAACTCCCGACCTAAGTCATTGCAAGAACTGGTGCGGAATCATGCTGCTGTCCAACCAAAGCAAGCAAAATATCAGGCCGCATCATCCTGGAGAGACTAAAGGATGCACTGGATTCAAAACTACGACCGTAACAGGCAGGCTTCAGGAAGTACAAATCATGTGCGGACCAAATTGCAACGCCACTCTACGCATCATCACAGAACAGAGTATAGAAAGGCAGTCAACCCTCTACCTCAACTTCATCGACTTTGAAAAAGCCTTTGACAGCGTCAACCGAGAAGCATTTTAGCAGACAGCTACTTCAACATTACGGAATACCACAAACCTTTATCAACCTCATTCAACAACTATATGAAGATGCCACATGCCAAGTAATTCACAATGCGAAGCTCAGTGATGTCTCTGAAGTGAAGGCAGGAGTGAAACAAGCTGGCGTCCTCTATCACCCATGATATTCCTGATTGTAGTGGACTGGATCATGCAGCAGACAACAGTGAGGAGCGAGAAGATGGGCATACGTTGGACCGGGGAAAAGATCCTAGAAGATTTGGATTTCGACGATGATGACTTGTGTCTAATGTCACAGAAACTTGAAGATCTACAGGCAAAATCCAACAAGTTGACAGAAGAGGTAGCGAAGACGCAACTTCAAATGAACGTAGAAAAGACAGAAGTGATGAAGGTACCCAACCAACAACAACAAGCTCCAATTACCATCAATGGGAGAAACTTAAAGGAAGTAGCCTCTTTCACCTACCTGCCTGGGTAGCACCGTTCCAACTACAGGTGGCGGCACAGACGACGACGTGAAAGTGAGGATCGGAAAAGCAAGAGTGGTATTCATTAACCTGAAACCAGCGTGTAGGTCTTCTGTACTCAGCATAAAGCGTGAACAACATCCGGATTTTCAACACTAATTCAGTCAAGTCAGTGCTCCTGTATGGCTCAGATACTTGCCGTGTTACGAAAGGGATTTCCAACAAACTTCAGACATTCATCAACAACTGCCTACGCTCACTCATTACTGAAGATCAGATGGTCAGAGAGACTAAGCAACAAGGAACTGTGGCTGTCAACGAATCAGCCAAGAAGCTATCACTGAACAAATATGTAGAAGGAAGAGAGTGGAGATGGATCGTGCATACACTGAGAAGGCCGACTGGGGACATCACGCCCCAGGCCCTCGAGTGGTAACCAACAGGGAAACGACGAGTTGGGCGTCCGAGGGTGACATGGAGGAGATTGTGTGAAGAAGAAATGAGAGCTTGTGGGCTGTCGTGGAGCCAGGTTCAAAAGTTTGCAGAGAAGAGAGTGGAATGGAGATGTGCTACTGAAGCTCTATGTTCCACTAGGAACCCAAGAGACAAATAATATAATAATAGTTCATGCAAAATGGTACGTGCGTAGGGGAAATAAAAAGTACACGGAAGGGATGTACTAAAATTGTCCACGATTAAAGAGGTGAGGGGACACCCACAATGTGGACGCTAAAATTAAAATTTCTAATGTAATAGGATGCTTCGGAATTTCTTCTTTAGTCCCGAATTAGGTCAAGGTAGTATAACAGTTCCAAGATTTCTTTTTTTGTGAATACATAACTTAGCTTGCTTCATCCAAATTGTTATCGCTTCTATAGTTTGGAGGGCTTAAGGCCTGATACCTTCTAGTAAGTTTATGGGAGCCATGTAAAGAATAGAAAACGACTCATTCATGTCCTATACATAGTTACAATTAATTAAGTGGGATAAAATAGACCATTTAGTGGTCTCTATTTAACCTTTTTCTAACTGTTTCAGCAGGCTTTCAGGAGCACTGGAAAGTTCAATCGGTGGAGTATGAGCCGACATAAACAGATCGAATTTCAACCAACTTTCATAATAGGTATCACTGAGCATAGTAGTTGCATTGAGTCCCCCTAAGAAAAGCTTACATCCACGTGAATTCATACACAATATAAACAGGCTACTTTATTCCTATAAAAGAAACAATTATTCCCAATAAAAATAATAAAATACCCTTTAGTATTTGGCTTCTTTGAAGTAATTCACAAATCTAAGACGATACATAAGGGAAGTAAGCAAATTGGATCCATAACATTGGAAGATGAATTGGCCCTAGGAGCCAAGTTAGAAAGGCCGAGATCAGATATATGCCAAGCCAGTTGAGGGTTGATTTCTTTGTTATTTTACGTGCTTCGGTACGCTTTGTCCCGGAGTTACTGAACTCTGATCGAGGTCGATCGTATGTGGTTTCAGCTGTTTGTGTAGCATGGCCAGCAACATGCATGGACTTGCTGCGTGTGGCTCTACTTCTTTGGTCTGGTGTGCGACGGCTAACTCAGAAGTAACACGGATCAGGGGAACCTGACTGTCTAATTAAAACAAAGTATTGACATGCCCAGTGACTAGTTTCTGCCAAGTGCCAAGAAATTCAACGAAGTACGGACAAACGATGAGAGTAACCATTCTATAGTCAATAATAATATATGTTGCTTTTTGTATTATCCCGTCACTGAGTGAACTGAATTTATCGATCTCTATTGGCAAATGCGCTCCTACGCGGAGGCCTCGATTCTGCCCGTCACACGAGGAGTGGTTATCGTGATTCGGTGGTCTAGTGGACAATGCTCTGGCATTTGAAGTGATCGGTCTTCAGTTCAAGTTCTGGTGGGAACAACATCGTTCACTGGGAGCCAGGTACAACCAGATGATGAGTTTCAAAAAAGACGAAACATGCGTCCTGGATTCCACTACTAGCCGCTATCCACCATTAGTACTAATATATAGTAGTAAGTGGAAGATACAGTGGCTAACTGAAGACTTTAGTAAGAACATTTATCTTAAATATCCTCAATCCACCTATCATCCACTATTATCTGCACACTGAAGATACAAATATAACAACGAATATACATGAAAATTCAATATTCTATGGAATTTACAAAAGATGATACTAGTCAAAAATGAGTCAACTACTCCAAGAAGAAGAGAAGAAACTCGATTGGAGAGAATTAGGAGCTTACTCTTAGTAACTGAAGTTTCACTTGCCAAGTAGGGTGTAGTTGTTGTAGAACACCAGTTGTGTGTAGATTATCCAGTAGGATTGTGTCATCTTCATCAGTGAGGAGCTGTATGTAGCCATCATTATTCACTGTTACAGCAGCATTATTACTATCGTCAGCATTCTCAGTCAAATTGTCAACATGAAGAGAAAGAAAACAATACGAAGAACGGTGAAGTATGCACTAGAAATAAATATATGATCAAGAACCGGAGAATTAAACAGTAGTGTGAGATAGAAGCCTACTACTTTACAAAAAACCAATTAAAAATGTAGATAGTTTCCAACGCACTGGAAGATCAAACTAACCACTGTTAAGTGTTTGTACAACTTTAGTATGTATAGGTGTTGATGATGACAGTTGAGAATAAAATTTACTTCAAAAGCATTGATTGAAACAACCTGAATACTAGTAGGTGTTACAGTTTCTCGAATCGAAATGCATATTCTTCCAGCAAAGGCTTGATTGACTTTTGCCAATTTACACCACCTATGGCGCCGCTATGATATCCGTTTGTCTATTAAGGGTCGCGTGTACTGCACCTGTACAGCAGTCCACTCTGTTCTACTCCATGGCTGTGAAACATGGCCATTGAAGGTAGAAGATATGAGAAGGCTGGCTTCAAGTGTTTGACCACCATCGCCTTCCTAGTATAGGCCACCGTCTTCCGTGGTGTCACCACGTGAGTAATGCAGAAATCAGGTATAGGGTTTTAGGGAGAAGAGGTAAATCAGTTGATGAGGTTGTGAACCTTCGTCGACTGAGATGTTTGGCTCTGACACGTATTACGTATGCCTAGTCACCGATCGCCTCATCACATAATGTTCGCCAAGGAAGGTTCAGGCTGGAAAAAGGCCCGAGGTGGCTAGACTAAAACTTGGTATCAATGTATGAAGTCTTTGACTGTTGGTTTGAGCCATGTGGGGCGATGCAGACTAGGTGGTTGGGGTCCACGGGACAGGAGGAACCAGTGGTTGGAGACCCTAGGTGATATGGCTCAGAACCGAAGTCAGTGGCGTAGATGTATACACACATTATCCTCATCTTAATGACGCTATACCGAATCTCACCATTTTGTCACTCCTCTTTCTTTTCTTTTCGTACTTTAAATTTCTTTTGGCTGCATTCTGCATTCTCTTATCTTTATCCTTCACCTCACTACCTTTTTACTTGATGTACTGATATGAGCTGTGGCAACTCGGACTGTTACGCAGTAATGCCTGGTCCTATATTGATATTGATTGATTGATTGGTTATGAGTCATCTTAAGTCAATGAGCCACAGTACCAGAAATAAAACTACACTTGAAGTATCTATTCATAACTCTTCAGTAAAAGTAGTGCAGCCTTAATAGTCAATTCAGGTAGAACAATGAGACATTTAATGTACCTAAGTTGTTTCAGATTCATAAATTAAATCAGAAGACAACAAGATTAAAACAAATTCATCTACACAATAAAGTGAGAAATTTCTGAATAAACATCACCTACTCAATTACTAATAAGTAGTTAAAATAGAAGTACTGAATATTTCCGACACTCACTATTACTTATATCGTTAGCGTAAGTTATTCTGCTAGCATTTAACTCGTGTATTGATCTACTCCGACTGTTTGATAAAGGCATATAATTGAAATACCATCTAAATTTTTCATGTTCAGGTCTGTCCAGAACGAATAAATACCTAAGGAAATGAAAAACAAACATGATGGTTACCACTTACACACAGGTCTTACTACTATCGAAATAAGTGTCATTGACACCTTAACATAATTGAAAATTTGCCATCATGCTATGTGATACATTCATAAGTACTTCATACGCAATCCTTTTTCTGATTCTCAGAACTTCAACTTCTAAAAAAGGAAAGCATAATACATTTAAAGATGCTAACCAATATATTCTAGATCACTACATGGACGATAATAACTGAACTTCATCGCAAACCGAATCATAACTGAAGTGCATTACTTAAAATTGCCATACTTACCAATAGCACAGAAGGAATTATCGTAAAACAAAGAAGAAAGTAAGAGGGGAGGAAAAACCAGAAACCTAAGTCAACAGAGTCTTCTAAATATTTGCTAAACATCAGAGAGAATGAAAACATCTACACCGTTCTGGCTTATTTTGAGCTGTCACCAGTATTTTTCCCCTAACTTGCTGAGGATACGAATTAGACAGTTTTTAATTTCCAGTACGACTCAGACTAAATATAAGGAACTTCCCTAGTTCACACAATTCTCTACTATGAAAACTATTAGTTTTCTTTTAACATAATACTTCTTCAGTTAACATACATCGTGTGAGCAATGTTGAGGTTGGACGAAGGGTACTAGGCAAGAAAGACAAGTCGATAGATGAAGTTGCGAAGCTTGGTTGACTAAGGTGAAGTGGCTTGGACATGTACTGAGCATGCCGATTCACCGTCCAACTCGACGTACAGTGCTAGGAAAACTACGTTAGTGGGGAAAAGGATTCAGGGTGAACAAATCAAGATGTGGTATCAGTCCATGAAACCGCTGACTGTTGTTCTGAACGTGTACGCAGGTGTCGACTACCTAGTTGGGATCCCCGAGACTATAGGAATCAGGACCCTTGGTGACATGGCTAAAAATCAGTCACAATGGCTCTTTGATTTCTTCTAAATCTTAAATGTTTTGACTAGTCTCAATTTTTAATTTCTTCTCTCCCCATACAGATTTATCTACTTCGATATCAGTCTAATCTATCCACTTAACTTTTGAATACTACTGTGAAGTGTAACCTCGCCTAGTTTACTATTTTACTAGCCGGTTCTAAGCCCGGATAAGGAGGAAAGGTTGAGCACAAGGCTAGCAACCCTACCCCAGAAAACCAATACAATCGCTAAAGAAACTTCAGAGCACAAACAAAATATAAAAATAAACTATTCCACGCTGGAATCGGGGAGACCAAACGACGCCAGTTGGTCAAAGCCTTTAAGAAGTCAATCGGTCTATATGTCTTCTCTTCTCTCGATGAAAGCGAAAGCAAACATGGGGACATGGAATGTCCGCACGATGTTTGAAGCTGGCTGGAAAGGCTGCCCGGATTGTAAAAGAAATGAGAAGACATGGCATACAAGTGCTGGGAATCTGTGAGGGCAGATGGAATGGAAGCGGACTCGCCAAACTGTCAACTGGAGTGTCAATAATGTATCCAATATTCTCAACCAGACAACAACCACAAGCGCACTGAGCTTCGGAGTGGCTATCATGGTGTCTCAAAGAGCATCGAAGGCTCACGTACAGTGAGAACCAATCTCCTCCTGCAGGATCAGGGTCATGACAGCAAGGTTCAGCTCATAAGGAAGGAAATCACAATCATACAATACTACGCACCTACAAATAATGCAGATCAAGAAAAGGAGGAGGAATTCTAGAGACAACTGCAATCAGCAATGGACAAGACCCACCCCAGTTGGTGACATCAAAATTCTAATGAGTGACATGTTTTAATGTCAAACTGGGAGCAGATAACACAGCAAAAGAACTCATCATGGGTCGAAAGGCATTCGGTGAAATGATGAATGAGAATGGAGAACTGTTTGCAAACTTCGGCGCATTCAACGATTTGGTGATTGCAGGCACTGTATACAAGCACAAGGATATTCACAAAGCGCCACAGATTTGATTTCACCACATGGACACACTTAAAATCCACTTCAGATCAACTTCATCTCAATATGAAGAAAGTAGAGACGCAGCTCACCGGATACAAGATCGAGAAGAGGAGAAGATGTAGGTTCACACCACTCACTATCTAGTGCAAGGAACCTAACTTCAAAATCAAGTTGAAAGCCTTCAAAGAATCTGATGATGATAGACTACATTTCAACTTCAACACCCAGAAGAGAAACTGAAGGACGAAGCTACAAAGGACATCTTTACGTCAGTCAGTCAACAAGAAAAAATGGGAAACATTAAGTAACATCCCCGAGGAAACCTGCATGGAAGAACACTAGAACTGTGTAGAAGCGACGTGGAAGGAAACCTGTATAACCGCGCAACTGGATATTTCACTCGTACCACATATGGTGCAACTTACCAAACACTAAGCAAGCCTTTTATGTTCATGTTGAGATTATGTTAGCGACTGATCAATTCGGTCGGTGAATTTGCAAATAATTGAAATGATCAACGCATTCCACCCTGTATTGCATATCTTTAAACTGGGAACCAATGCAGAACATGTGATATTTGACAAGAACAAAAAATTCGCCGAAATCTACTGGGGTTGCTACCTTAAGTGTTCAGAGGATTCTGTTATTGAATTTTGAGGGAGTTGCAGGAATTTGAAAATATTTCAAGTTTTTATTCATCGTAGACTGAAATCAGTTGGAGGAACAAAGGGAACCTGAGAGCACTGAACAGCTGTTTCGTCCTAGTATGGGACTCCTCAGCGGTGCGCACCCACGACCCAGCCAGGGATCTGACCTGCGACCTTCAGGTTCCGTGGCCAGCACGTTACCATTGAGCCACTGGATCAGAATCCAGTGGTCCATATTTCCAACTTTGTTAGCTCACGATTCTGTTATTTTAATGTCATCATTTCATCTGTGTACTCTAAGTTAACCAGATTCTCCTCAGGCGGGAAATCAATCACCAAGAAGTCAAGTGTGTGTAGTTACGTACATCATGAAAGTAGATATCCCTAATAGATACTACCGGTCATCATCATCACGAAAGATAACCCAGCGTGAACCTCAATATAACTACGGAGATTCTAGAGAACAGTCTTGATATGTATATTGTAGTTCCTCGACACTACAATTATAGCCGGCTAGTAAGAAACACTTATCCATCGACACGTTGCCTTCAGATTAGGAAGTCTAGCAATATTGTGCATGTTAGTGTGTGTATGCTTAAGAACCTATCCATGGGGTAAACACTTATGATACCTATAATGACTGTTTAGGTGCTTCGAAGAAGTTTGAAATCGCTGAAATCTTTCATAACCAAATGACAGAGTCCAAGGTTTTCATAATAGAGGTGTGATCAAACATGTAAATAACAGATCGGCTAAAGAGACTAAGTAGATAGAAAATACCCTCCTAGAAAGGACTTAAAATAACTTAGGCCACTGCATACATATGAATTATAGTGTGTGGTACATACTTGGACGTTTCAACACATTTTAGGTTATCTTACAACCTTTTCTATTTACTTAGGAGTGGAGGAAATATCAAGAATGGAGTTCGAAGGTTGTTATTCGAACCTTCACAACAGTAGATCATCATAAATCAGGTTATATCAAAATTTGATCAAATAACCCACCTTGGGTTAGAAATTCACCTTTTCCTTTCGAAAGTACTGTCCCTCAATTGGACATCAGATGATTATGGACCCTAGGATCTTACAGATTATGTTAGTAAAGCTGATTCCCGTTAAGCTGGCACAGAAAGATTTGTCCTCTTTCTTACAGACTGGGATTATAAATGATTTAGACCTGATTTATGGTACTATTTCTGATTAACACACTTCAGTTAGATAGTACCTAGGTTACTTCAAGTAATCCTTAAAGACATATTGGTTGTAGACGTTTAGATTTTGTTGCTTCACACAATTTTACACTTGAAACCATCCCTCTGACAGTTGGGCGACTGATATCTAAATTTCATTTGAACCAATTGAAGTGCTTCATTCAACGTTCCAACTACCTATTTTTGGAAGTTAACGAGAACCAACACTTTTCAATGATAGCCTCCTTGCGTCATTCTCTTTAATGGGGCTAAATCATTGAAGTGGTGATGCCTTCTCTATCTCTTTCGTCTTCCGCAACTGCCATTGCTGACGGCCATTAACAAAACTCAGATTAGTATAATTGTTTTTATATGATACCGTCGTTGATTAGACCCAATTGATCGGTCTCTATTAGCATATGGGCTCCTGTGTGGATGCCTCGATATTGTCAGCGTTCTAATTATGTTAATGACGGATCGTGGCTAGCAGTGGGATCTAGGATGTGCATTTTGTCCTATTTGGGACTCGTCAGCTGGATGTATCTGCTTCCCAGTGAGTGATGTTGTTTCCAACCAACGACGGTTTCATATAAAAACAATTATACTAAAAACTATACCCGTCGCACAAGAAGTGGCTATCGTGGCTCAGTGGTGTAGTGGATAACACTCTGGCGTTTGAGGCGATTGCTCCCGAGTCCGCATCCCGGTGGGAACAACATCACTCACTGGGAAGCAGGTGCATCTGGCTGATCAGTGAGTCCCAAATAGCACGAAATGCGCATCCTGGATTCCACTGCTAGCCACGATCCATCATTAACAAAACTCAGATTACACTAAAACTTACTTGACTTCAATTTGTGATCAGGATTAGTCGGAATGAAAATCCTCTCATGAATAAGTTCAGATATGGCTTTATTGATTCATTGGCCTTTACTAACTTCTATAGTTAATAATTACAGACTTTTATAGTCACTGTTTTCATAATCGACTGAGTATGACGTAATGCTGTGTAAACAGTACTTCACTATTACATACACATAAATGCTTAGTTGCCTAACAGTTGAAATACAAACTTGATGTTTCTACCTTCAAGTTGAGTACAGAGAGAGCTCCAGGATGCATGCTGCCTAAACTATTTCACATAAACACATGCGTACTCGGAACAAAGTGTAATCAAGACCTAATCAAAATCACAGTGAAATTGAGAACGCTCTGATTACTTACAATATAGTACAGTAGTATTTACTATATTCCTAAACCACTTTAATGTATAGATTTATTCTACGACAGTGCCAAAGTTCGACTGTAATGGTGAGCATATTGTTCAAATATGAGATATTATACATAAAATAAAGTTTGATCTAATTTGCAGTTTTTATTCTCAACAAAAAACTCTTATGATACAGCATACTAGCCACTTTTCTCACTGATCAATAATACAAAGCAACAGAGTTCAGCCAGTATCATCGTTCGTACCACACGGTAACATCATCAATGTTTCATAAGTCATACCTCAAAATTCTGGCTCAGTGGTTTTTAGCTCGAAACCTCAGTGGATACTACAGTCAGTTGACTAAACAAAACTATTCAGCAATACTCACATAAATCATACAAGATTATATTCAGTTTGGAGGCCTGTGGGGATTTATTTATTGATTTCAAGTTGGTATTCATCATGGATTGATATCAGTTGGAGAACCATCAAAATCCTTGGAGAAATGGGCAGCTGTTTCGTTCAGCAACCAGACTCCTCGGCGGTGCGCACTATATCACGAACTGACGGAAATAGGAAAATGTGAACTGTTAAATTTCGACCAAGTGGCTCAACGGTAGCATCAGCGCCGCGGAATCTGGAAGTTCTGGATTCGATCTCTGACGGTGTCAAGGGTGTTCACTGTTAAGAAGTCTTTACACTAGGACTGTCCAATTGTCCTAGGTTTTCAATGGTTTCACAACTGATGTCAGTCCATGATGAATATCAACTTGAAAACAGAATTACGTAATTTCTCATAGTCAATTTATGGGATAGTGGGGCATTCAAATATGCTTATGGAATTTAGATGATGTGACTACATTAAGTCCAACGATTTAGACACTGTCATACCCGTACTTGAAAGAACTGCTTCTCAAGTGTACTTCTAACATTCAGTTCAGGTTCAGCGAAGAATTCTGTGTACAGAAGGATAGTGTGTCCGTGGGGTTTCTTCTTGGTCCACTCTCAGTTGATTGCTTCACGGCCTTGAAAATGATATCCTTAGTTCAATTATCAGTCAACTATAGTTTTACAAAAGATTGGAACAACTTACTCAAAACTTTTCATGCTTAAGATTTACTCTACAATGTGGAACAAATTTCGTATTCCCATTCATGAATGTGCTACTAACAAGAAGACCGGATGGTTCTATTCAAAGGATAATGTACAGAAATCCAATCCGGAAGGAACAGTTTATCAACTTCCAAGGTCATTTCCCTCTCATTTGCTAACAGAACCATGTACATTCGCTTTATTGAAGGATTCGGAACATCAATTGGTAAGACATACTTAACAGTGATTTAAAATTTCTACGAAACACCCGAATAAATAGGAGAGATTCATCTGCATATATCAATTATGGCATGATATGAAAACCACAAATACAAAGGATATCAATCCTCTAAAAGAAAACTTACTCATATGCATAAATTGACTTATGATTTCTACATTAAATCCTATACAACGGTTATCCACCTAGATTGGGATGATGACTGAGAGAAAACTCCCTACCTGGGTCTTGAATTCAAACGCGACGTCACAGCCGTAATCCTTAAATATCATCTCTTAAGACATTTAAGGAAGACAATTCACAAAGTTACACTGAGAATCAAATTGTCCAGCAGAAAAATAGCCCTTCAGTGCATTAAGGATGGAATATCGCTTTCGGTCACCTGAATGTCCATTTATCCATTTACTCGCTCCTGTAGAGAGCAACGTAAGTTGGTCGCACAGAGCGTCAAGTTCGTAGGTGTATTTTGAAACATTTTTCAGGTTGCTTATCCAGAGGAAAGAGAAAAAATACCAATAGTTCTCTTCTTAAACACTTCATCACCACCAAACATCAAGCCCTTCCTAGTAGTACCTTCAAAGTAATTTATACAGTGTCGCCCCACAATTCCAAAGCCTTCGAGAGTATCATCTACACATAGTCGAATCATTGACAATTCAGAACCTGCAGAAGTGGGGCTTATTGGTCTAAGTACTTGACTTTTAACCGATGGGTCACAGGTTCAAACCCCGTCTCATATACTGAGGTCTGGGGAGCCAGGTAGTATTATAAGCCCTCATACAATGAGCGCGACTCGTTGCCTACAGCACAAATGTGCATTTGATTCATGAGTGCACTTCGATTTTCCTCTTCGAATGCACAACTGTAAACCTAATCTTCATGTTCAAAGACATTAAATGCATTCATTAGACTTACCATGGACAAAATGGTAATTTTCGTCCGTCGTTCTACTCTACTCTAAAACATTACAGTAATCATATGTCCCTATTGATTGATCTGCTTGTTGGTTAGCAGAGGAGTCCAGGACGCGCATTTGCAACTCGCCAGCTGGATTTACCTGCACCCCAGTAAGTGATGCTGTTCCCAGCTGATGAGTTCCAAATAGGAAGGAACGTACGTCCTGGATTTTATTGCCGGCCATCAAGTAAAATATAAAACAATAAACATATAAGCAGTATCAACGTATCCCTAAAGGAGCTCATCTACCAACAGAGGTCGAGCAATTCAACACAATACAACTGGAAATTACAAGTGTCACTAAACAATACTGGGTGACGATTGAAATGAAAATGATCAAGGCAGCATTCAAACAATCGATCTCCAGGTTACCGGCCCAGTTTTCTGCCTAGTATCAATAATACAAGTCAGCCCCAGTCGGTCCCAGATGATAGTCAGACTGATAGGTATATATAACATATTTTTAAGATTGTAAATACCTATAGACGCATCCAATTACAATGATGATAAAAGTTGAAAATTCGCACAAAAACTCCTCTTGTATATATATAACTTACACTAGAAAGGTAGCACAAGGGATTACAATTATGATACGCAATGTAATCTCAGGTGTAGTTAACGCTGTTAGGCCAACATAAACAAGTGAACCAATTAGACCAGCTGCACCGGTGCCTGAAGACCAAGCTGAGACACAAGATCTATACCAGTTTTACACCATAGAGAAAAAAAATGAATAAAAGAAATAACTGTACATTAATATTAAGTTGTGGTTGTGTTGTTGGTAAAACCACTAACAAGAGGTATGACAATATAACGAAAGTAAGCTAGTGAATGTTCTACTGAAACATGCGTAGCATATTACAGATGTATAGAAGATTAAATGCAGAAAAATATCAAACATGGACTATATTATTTCAGCTGTAATACATCTTACTGTAGTAGTGATGAAGAAGAAGGAAATTCGATTGTTACAAGAGATATGAAAGTACTTGAGACTGTAGACACATATAAACCTTGTTCATGAACACTAACTAACCGACTGTCTACAAACCGTATTTTAAGTAAGCTTTAAATGCATCACATAGAATTTAGATCTATGGACCGGGGAATTTTACTTCAGTTGAAAATAAGAGATTGAATGCATTATCTGGAAGAAATACTTGTCTAGGTTTTGAAAGTGTCTTAGTATGATGACTTTAGTACAGAAAAGCATAAGGAAACTTCAAATGTGATATAATGCCATGACTGATAATTGATCACAATTGTAAGCTGTTACGTTAACCCTTGAACTTTTTGTCTAAGGTTCTACATTGATTCTATCTATCAGTTCATCATATTGAAAAAGTTAGTCGTTTTTCAGTACTCGTATTGAATGTATATGTATTCATTAAATTCCACATTTTGTTGATCTTACGCATTAAGATTAGTCTACAGTATGCAAGAAGAAAAGAACTTCAAAACATATGAAGCAAATAACGATAAGTCAATATTTGCGGTTATTGCAAAAACAAATTGCAATTATTACTATTGTTACGGAAAAAAAAAACGAGTTAACTCTTAATTAAAACGTAAAATAAGGGTAATGTGGTGGGATGTAATCCCATACTAGTTATATATTAATGATAGATAGTGGCTAACAGTGGAATCCAAGATGTATGTTTCGTCCTATTTAGGACTCATCAGTTGGATGTACATGCCTCCCAGTGGGTGATATTGTTCCCGCCGGGACTCGAACCCGGGACCGATACCCTGAAACGCCAGAGCGCTTTTTACTAGACCATGGAGCCACGATAGCCACTTCTTATGCGTTGGGTATAATTTTGGTGTTGTTGCTTGTAGAGAGACCAATCGATTCGGCAAATAAAAGAAGGGATAATACAAGCAACAACACTAATTTCCTACTAGAATACAGCGCACAGAGATAAAGCATTATTTACTGGATGAAGTTTGACGCATAAATTATTGTCTGCTTTCTATAGTTCTATCAATTAAGTAAGCAATTGAAGCGTATTAAAGAAACGTTACTAATTAATAATTATCCTCTGCAGTTTAGGGTTCGCTAGAACACACTAGAAACGAAGTCATAGTAGTAATACACAAATATGACTAATGACGACAACAACATGATAACAAAGGAGTTCAAAACACCTATCATGTTAGCATATAAGGAAGGAACATCAGAAACTTTGCGTAAGATTCTCAACAAAGCTCATTCACTTTGTCGGATAGATTCAGTTAAAGAAAAATAATCTAATCTACCAAATTCCATGCAATGACTGTGAGGTCAAGTATATACGTCACATTAGTCAATCGGGGTCAGTCAAATGTAGAACAATAGACTGCAACAGGACTAATTATATGGGGGAAAAACTCGGCTATTGCAATGCATGTATTGCCAGACAACCACACAATGGGGTGGGGATAAAACCACTGTCCAATATAATTTGATGAAATGAACTGTTAATGTATAAATTTATCCAAGATGAAAAGCCATGATTAAGTAGACGATTCTTTATTCTAGGACTGAGTATTGGTCGACTAGTGAAAGATATGCAAAGACGACCTGAATAACACATTCTATTTATTGCTCTAGGATGCCACTTGAATTGTCTCGATTGAATGGCGAACACAGAAACAAAGGCTACTCCACCATTAAGATCAATTTCCTTCTGGAATAACAATAATCAATCTTTACTCTGGTAAACTTTTCAGGATATCCTTTTTCGCTTAGAATATCACGGATACAAAGTAGTTCTTTCACTAAACATACTCTTCCAAACAAATCGATTTCACTGTAAATGTCAGGCACCTGGTTATATTACGTTTTTACTTCATTGGAGCGAAGCTGAGTAAAAATGTAATGCTTACCTTAGACATTTGTTCTCTACATATACTTCCCAGTATAGGACCATCTTCTTTTCTTATCATTACCACATGAAGGAAATCCATTGAGTTATTGATTTCTCTTTCATATGGATGAGCGCTGTTGAAATGGTCCAGAATAGGATTAATGCATAGACTGGGAAAAGATCATCCATATATCAACAGTATACACCTCCATTTCGATAATTTGATCTTTCAAAGAACTATTCTAAAATTTCGCCAAAAATGTCTGCAAATATTGTGTCCAATGGAAATCTCATAACCACTTCATCAACACTTGTTTGTATAGATTATTGTTGAAGACAAACTGGACATTTTAACAATAGTTCCTTCAAATTCATAATATGAATGCCAGTGTCCAATTTCCTTTCTCATAATTGTTCGCAGACATAACCCACAGTTTCCATTAGAGGGATGCTAGTGAACAAAGATGTGACATCAAACAATCTCATGCATGTATTTGTTGAAAACATTCAAGTTTTTTTTTTATTTTGTCTACAAACTGGAAGATGTTTTTCCGGTTACACTTTGTTAACTGATCACACAAAGGCTGAAGTAATTGTACTAACCATTGGGCGATAGAGCAGTAAGATGAACTGATCATGTCTAGGATAAGGCGAAGAGATGAAGTAGGTCATATGTCCGTGAGATTGTGCTGCCTATGGGTTTCAATGATGTAGAGTTGTGGTTTATTGTTTTAAACACATGGTTTTCTATCAGATAGGTCACGGTTTCGAACCCAGCTTCATCAATTGAGAATGTTTATGTGGTCAGATAGCACAATTAGTACTCAACACAACAGGTGCGGTTCATTGCTTATTGCACGATTACGCGTAAGGTTATTGAGTGGATTTTGATTCCGCCTAGTCCTTAAGAGTTCAGATGTCAATCACTTGACTACATGTTTGCACACGGTCTCATATAGTCTTGTCTAAGTGGATAGATAATAAAACTAACCAATAAACAGTAAGCAAAACTGATATTCGGGCAAACTATACACTGAGTTAGTCAGAGGGCTTGGTTTACATGAGTATTGTGAATACTCAATTCCTCGAAAATCATACAATATGTTCCAAAAGGTATTTCGGAAGAAAAACACTGTATTTCTATTGAACTACAACCTCAGATCGTATCACTAATGTTAGTATAAATGATCAAAACAGATAAACGATAAAAATCAATGTAATACACACCACAACACTGAAACACAGAAACTTAGTGACTCTGTGACAGTCTTCAACGAAATATCACTAATACAAACTAACAGATACTAGTCAAATGAACAACAGACGCTTTGAAAGATCAAATTTAGTTTCACATTTGCTTTAGCTAACCTAACTATAGAACATCAAAAACTGAATAGCATACTTACTTATCGAAGAAGCCCAACATGCTTAAGAAACTGACATCCCCAATACCTGATGATAAACTTGCGGATACAATTGCTAAGAAATAAAAAGCAACATTAATTATGTTTACAGCGTGGTTTGGATAATCATATCTTCCTCTTGTATGTAAGAGGAAGTAAATTAGATCAGATATAATAACACAGAACTGAACCCTATCAGGTATATAGAAATTTAAGGCAACACACTCAATACAAACCATTAGATAATGAAGCAACATGCAAAGAATGAGAATGGTATGATAAGCCACTACAGAACAGGAGGATAATGAGTACCTAAAACAACCAAGAAATGATCTTATTTGACTCTTAACACTCATCAAAACTCCGCTTTTTGGCAAGCGTTTGGTCTAAAGCGGAAAAACTTACAATCTCATACAAGATCCTAAGCACGAATTTATCACTTCTCGGATTAAATGAAAAATATCGAAATGAACAACTCAATACTTCGGTCATACTATCCCTATCTTAACCACCGTCTTAAGTCGTGTGAGCAATATTTATATCAAGCAAAAGGTACTAGGCAAGACAGACAGGCAAATCGATTGATGAGGTTATGAACCATCATCGACTGAGGTGAAATGGCTTGGATATGTGTTATGCATGCCGAACCACTGCCTACTTCGACGTACCATGTTACGGAAAGTTGGATTAGGTTAGAAGAGAGTTTAGGGTGAACAAACCAAGATATGCTACCAGTCCATGAAGCCAATGACTATTAGTCTAAACCGTGTTTGCAGATGTTGATCAAAAGGTTTGATTGAAATAAAATAAAAACCTGGTCAACAGTCGGACCTCGTAGCTCAGTTGGTAGACCACCAGGACGGTAGCACCGATGGTCGCTGGTTCGAATCCAGCCACGGTCTAAATTTTCATTTCACTTTCAATCATCACCCAGTATCAATATTAGTCTGCCAAATCACGGCTATCTCAGATAGTATGAATGATAAAAAAAAAACATGAATTAGTCGATACAATCCATCCAAGAAAAGTCCTTCATGGCTTAAACCACTATGTAACGAAGTTACGGAAGTTACAGGTGAACCCAAGGACAGCTTCTTATCTCCGGTCTATATTTTTTAAAGAGGATATATTGGAAAGCGGAATGTCCTCACCTCAAACCAGAAACCGCCCAATATATATTGTGAATTCATCAAATGTAATTAGAAGTTTCCAGATAAAGGTACAACTAGACATGTAAATAAGTTATTGGATATATCAGTGACATCAATGGACTTAAGAAAACTCTGAAAATAATCAGAGCGATTGGAAATATATAAATGCCGTGGTATTCTGTAAATATTTGAATCTTTCAATACACCCCTTACCGGTTTTTCTATCTTCGAAGAAATGAGCGAACATCAACAGTGTGATTTGTAAGTTTTTGTTTAAGAGACTACATTCATCCTAATAATCATGACAGTAAACAAGGTTGGTTGAAGGGGGGGGAAAGAAATCGTTCGAAACATTTGAGGGTATGACGCAACGGTAGGGAATAAAGAATAAAAAAGTGGATTCTCAGTTTTACTGAGACACTTAATCAAACATTGTGTGACATTCAGTCAGCAATTGTAGTTCCATATTAGACTCGTTTATTTGATTTATAACACAGTGAAACAATATTATTTACTTGATGTAACAAGTTTCTATACTAAAATATCAATCACTATGACACTGGAGGCAGTCAGAACTCAACCAAATGCTGAGTCAGAATTTACTCACAGATATATTCATGGATCGCTGGGAAAACATGGCTTTACAAACGTTTAATCCTACACAAAAAATATAGTCGCGATATGTGGATGATACATTCACCACTGCACTCTCTTGAAATCGGAACGTATCGACAATTTCCTCACATATAAACTCAGTAATAAATACAATCCAATTCACTTATGAGGTAGAAAGTGAACAAGGGGAATCACCCATATTGGATTGCAGGATAAAACGAAGGACAGATGGTGGTTTGGATACTACGACCTACAGGAAACCGACACATTCCAACAGGTATCTAGACTTCAAGTCATCTCATCCAATGTCAGTTAAGGCAGATTTAATCATATGTCAAAATGATAGAGCTAGGAAACTGGCTAGTCAGTGCAAGAATCTAAACAAGGAATTAAAGCACGTAAAAGAAGAACTAATAGTTATCCTCCGTAGTTAATTAAGAAATTCGTACGAATATGCAAAAAGCGAAAAGATAACAGTAACACGAGTACGAATAATAACGACAGCACGAGTATAAAGTTCACAGCCACCATTGTGTTACCCTATAAGGAAGGAACATCAGAAATTTTACCTAGGATCCTCAACAAGGCTGGAATTAAGATGGCATTTAAACCTACAAACTCACTCAGAGATAAGTTTTGTCCGCTTAAAGATCCGATAGAACCAACTAAACAAAATAATCTAATCTATCAAATTCCATGCAATGACTGTCAGGTCAAGTACATAGGTCACACTAGCTGGTTGGGGTCAGTGAGATTATCAGAACATAGGAATTTAGCCAAATGTAGAATGATAGACTCCAACAGGATTTAATTATGTGGAAAAAAATTCGGTTATTGCAATGCATGCATTAATACACAACCACACAACAGGATGGGATAAAACCAATGTACTTAAATTTTGAGGGGGTTGTGGAGATTTGGAAATATTTCAAGTTGTTATTCATCGAAGACTGACATCAGTTGGAGGAACAAGGGAAACCTGGGAGCACTGGATAGCTGTTTCGTCCTAGTATGGGACTCCTCAGCAGTGCGCACCCACGACCCCACCAGCAGGGATCAAACCCGCGACCTTCAGGTTCCGCGACCAGCGCGTTACCATTGAGCCACTGGGTCAGAATCCAATGCTCCATATTTCCAACTTCTGTTAGCTCACGATATAGCGCAAACCGCCACCCAATGTCATCGTTGAGTATTTGTCCTCACGGCCATCAGGCTTTGACTCCACCGGTCACGACTTGTCATTGGAACTTCGGGAATACTTCTCGAAGCTAGTCAGCAACGAGCACTAGTTCAATTAAATTTTGAGGGGGTTGTGGAGATTTGGAAATATTTCAAGTTGTTATTCATCGAAGACTGACATCAGTTGGAGGAACAAAGGAAACCTGGGAGCACTGGACAACCCCAGGTTTCCTTTGTTCCTCCAACCAATGTACTTAAGTTCAATATAATTGGGTGGAGAGAGAGAGAGAGAGATTACTGAATCTTTATTCATCGAATCAACACCACCCAACAGGAATGAAGCGATACATATATACCAGAGATATGGAAAAACTTACTACTAATCGAAAAAAGAATAACAGGTGACAGGACTATATAAAAAAATCAGATGTCAAAAGTAGTATGATTACATTGGTATGACTATGAGCAATAGTATATACATTGAAACGTCATCAAGTAAATAATACTAGATCATAACTAAATAAATCTAATATGGAATTAAATTCTACGACAGTGCCCAAGTTTTACATTTGTACTAACCTACTGCATTCATGAAGCCGCAGAGGTCAGAAATCGAATGTGTACATAATTCAAATTATGAATTTTAGAAAGATAAATGGGGAATATTAAAATCTGGGACATGATACACTCGTTTTTGAAAACAACGGTAATCTTTTCAGTGAGCAAAAGTAGACTCATTGACAGAATCAGTATTGAAATTCACACACACACACACACACACAGATGCATCAGCCTCAAGTTGCCATATTTCATAGTAGTAAACAAAGAGTAGATGGATGGAAAAAGGGTGATATCAAAGCATAGAACACCTGGAGCATACATTTGATTAAGGCATGTTTATGAAAATTTATAGGCTAGCCTATTTATAACTGCAATACAAACAAACTTAGGATATAAACCATTGAACTGAACTTACCTAAAAGACTCATATACAATGATTGAGAAAAAGAGACCATCAGGAAACTGTTAATAGCCAGTAGGACAGAACACACAATTTTTAAACTGTGAAAGAAAATGCAGCAAGAGTAGAAGAGGCGAAAGACAGACAAATGCACAAACTGTACTCGTACAAATAAGAGCATGGGGTGTATGGATTAACACCGTGATCCAGTAGTAACTCTCTCACTTCCTTATTGAACAAAAAGTACACTATCATTCATACTGGTTTATATTGAATCGAATTCACTAGTTTATTTTATTGTCTGTCCATTGGCTAAAATATATCATATTGATGAGCATATACTCTCATCTCGAATAGAACTCCCTGATCTTTTAAATGATTGTAGGCAACTATATCATCCCTTTACATCTATACTCTCTTCTTAATCATTAAAAATAACATCATTAATCTTTTACATGCAGATAACACGTCCGACAGTCAGAATAGTATTCACTTAAAAGGGCGATTCCTAACCCAGAAAGAATGCTGTTTGATTTTCATCATGTTTGTTGATCAGTGGTTTCTAAAACTCTGATCGCAATTCCCAAATAATGAACAATATCGCCTTATATAGACGATCTGGTATATCTACCATATTCGGCATAGTATATGGTTATAGCCAGAAAAGTCAAAATCCAATTAGAAAGGAAGTGTACATCCGGGTGGTTGGCAATGAGCTACAAGTATTGTTTGAAGGTCAATGATACTACCTGGCTATCGAAACTTCGGTGTATGGAGTGATAGTTGAACCCACCACCTACTGGTTGAAAATCACACGCATAAACTAAATAGCTACAGCTTCCTCGACGCATTTAACCATTTCCCTGCTTATCCTTAAACCAAGTGTACTTACAGATCAGTCCTGGACCATCCTCTTACACCTGGTAGGTACAAAACGTATGCGAAACATACTCACATTTACGCTCAACACGTTCAGAAGATGGATATCTCGCCGGCGCGACAGGTGATGCAAATTAGCAAACGCCAAAAACGGGCCTTCTGTATCTGAGCTGAGATTTCATCAGCGACCAGTCCATTTGGGCTGATGTAACTCCCCAAGTAAGTGAAGTGATGGACATATCCCACCACTCCACTTCATATCGTTAAAATAGGAGTCGTTGTAGACCAGTCCTGAAGCATTATGTTAAATCCGACGGGTGCGGGACGCATGCCAAACATACTCAGATCTCCGCTCAACGCGTCCAGAAGACTGTGCGTTAGGTCGATGTCTTCAAATGTCAGGAAAATACCGTCTGCAGACTTCAAGTCAACCAGATGACATCCATGGAGTAGATGAATCCTTGTGAAGTCAGGCCTACCTAAGGTTATGTCCACCAGTACGTTTGGGGTGAAGTTAAGTAGGAACTGTGACAGTGGACATCCCTGCCGAACACTATTAGTCGTCGTCAATACAGATGACAACTCCTTATAAGCCATGACATGGCTGCGTGAGTTCAAGTAGACAGCTTTGATTAGCGTTATATACTTGGTCGGTACTCCCTTCACAGTTAGACACTGTCATAACTCCTCATGGTGGAGTGAGTCAAATATCTCCTCCAAGTCAAGAACCTGTCGTAGAGTAAAACCATGATCGATGCACCCTCGTCCAGATGGGAAACCTGCTCGGTTTTCTCGGGTTTGTTGTTTGAGCTTCAGCTAGGCGCTGGACAACTATGGACTCAAGGATCTTGGATACCATATTAGTCAAACTGATTCCCCTGCTAATGGTTGTCACAAGAATACGATCCTCCTTTTTTATAGAGTGGAATGATTAGTAAAATACACCAGTTTGACGGCATCACTTAGAAACTCCAGGCCATTTGTAGTTTTCATTGACTAGGACCAAAATCATCAAACCACTTATTGGACCAGCAAAATCTACGTGTCTTCCCAACCGCAACTTCTCTGATGTTGACCATCCTTGCGGAGGAAGTCATGCAGCTATTCTGACTGCTTGGCCGGAATGTGAGCATCTCGCTACGTCTATGAACCGTTGGTCAATACCTAACCAGTAGACGTAATTGTGAATAATGGCTCTCAATACGTCGATCCCCAGCTAGTCAGAATGAAATTGATTGAGGATGACCGGTCGAAGTGTTGTCGGGATAACGACGTGGTCAGTGAATACAAGACTGAAAACGATGATGGACAAATTGTTTCGACGTTGACAGAATTTAGGTAACTTTCCGGTTAGGGTCCTTTAATGGTCATCAATTGTTCATATAGTTGATAGTCTGATGCAGTAAGGGATCATTGGGTATTTCCTTTACGATGCCCAGCTATAATAACCAGCATGGCAAGAATAGTGAATGGCAGACTAAATTGTACCTCTGACTCGAAGGCCACAGTTGCGAAAATAGTTTTCTGTTATCCTGAACCTTCTTTGATAAGTAAGCGGGAAAAAAACGTCAGCTTCTCAGAAATTTTCAGTGCCAATACAACACGTGTGGAAATCGTAGTTTAAGTGGAATTTCACCCATCTTCTTGTAGATTATAACGAAATTGTCTTTTTGAAGCGAAAATTATGAACAGCAGGAATGTTGAACAAATAACATTTGTAGAACCCACTCACTGTAGGTATTAGTGTTCACACTTCTTTGTCTATCTAGACGTAGTTGTTCTATACCATTGAGTGTTCTAACACCATAGAGAAACAGCTCTTCTGAACCATTAGAAAAGTGATAACCGAATTTATTCCATAGCCAGAAGTAGGTATAGCGAGGACGATAGAAAGCTTTGAGTCGAAATCCATAAGCGAAACATCAGAATTTAACATCAATTCGAATTAGTTAAGTAAGCGTTGACAATCTAGACTACATATACTTGACTTCTTTAATGGGAAGATAGTTGAGAGGTCTGCATACACCATGCAAGCAACGTAGGCACCCAATTTTTACTCTTAATCTTACAAGAAAGTAGAAGAGCAAGGAATGATCTAAGAGAGGATATATTTTTAGATGCAGGCATCTTCTGAAATCATACGGACATTTTCCGGACCCAAAGTGTAACAATGTTCGTCGAAGATGAATCCCAAATATTTTATGGACAGTACATAAAACTGGCATTCATCCACAAGCACTCAGAAACCATAGTATTTAATGCAGTGTAAAAAAATTCATAGTTCCCTCCGCTGTGGATCGTCTCACTATTATGATATCTTCAAAGTAACCTGCAGCCTTAGTGATACTCGTAGGCATAGCGTCCATTATTTCCAGAAATACAGTAGTAGCATTTTAAGGTATAAAAAGTAATCTATTAATGATGGATAGTAGCTAGCAGTGGAATTCAGGACACACGTTTCATCCCAATTAGGACTCGTTAGTTAGATGTACCTCCCTGTCAGTGAGTGGTGTTGTGACTAAGGAAAAACGTTTCCCTAGAAAGTGCACATACTAGTTACTACCAGAGACAGACACAAAATCAACGTAGAACTTCGCACAAAAGTGCATCGTCTCAAGTTGTAACTTCATGAAAAAACTGTCTGGTTCAAATCCTGATTTCAAATCAAAAGATTACAGATACTTCATGAATTCTTCTTCATACTTTTTGTTGGGTCAAATTGTGTCCCTGTGTTATTTGGTTACAATGTTGATAGACATATTTTGAAAACGACGAAACCCATTATGATGGCATACATCATAGTGCCCATGTGAAGATTATGGCAGTTTATTCTGATAAAGGACAGACAATTAAATTGATCGTAAGGAAAGGAGCGTACTTTATACGGTTGATATTCAAGATCCACAATACGAGTATATGTAACGAAGTCGTCAATATTATGCAGTGATAACTTCAAGCATTGGTAGAGTGTGAGGAGTTTTTACTCAATATTGAAAATGATGCTTGTACTGCTTTCTACAGAAGCATTAGTCTTTCAGCTGAGATGTGAAAGGATGTAGCTTATATGTTTGTCATAATCAGCTGCACCGACTGTATAGAGTAACCATTCCACCTTCTTTGCGTCTTCTTTACGTACATAGTGTTTTGAAAATATTTCCATCGCCACACAAAACCAGGAAACATATGTGGCATTTCATGAGGAAATTAAACACAAAACAGAAAAACAGCTTGCAATCAAATCAAAGGACAATAGACTGTATTCTGCTATTCACATTGATAGACTGCTTAAAAGCCTCTCTATCAACAGTAATTGTTGCACAAATATTCACTTCAAATCACAAAAAGTAATAGAAATTCCCTTCAATCAGAAAACACTTCGCCCAGTTTAGTATGATACGCGATTGAGTGCTCGATACAACTATGAAGTAAAACATTTAGACGTATATAAAAAAGCGAACCTCAGAGGCCCGTAACTCTGAATACCAGAACTGTTTTCAATCGCTGATTATCCCTATCAACAAAAAGGCAGACAAAACCTGATGTGATCACCGGTGAAGAACCAACTTGACGAATAAATTATCAAAACTCAAAGGTTCCACAGTCATTCAACGTCCAAGAGAAGCTCAGGAACAGGAAATAAGAAAAAAATATATAGACCTCAATCTTTGCTGTGCATGAATCGATCATACCTTCATCCATAACCAAATCCTATAATACAGGAACATTTATTCATACCGGACACCAGCTGTATCTCTAGACAAGAAGGCGGCATTCATCTCCATCGATTGAGAGGTCTTATGTCAATGTCAACGCCAAGGATGTCCATTCTCTTCATTCCTATTTAATTTCGTCATAGACGTTCTTATGGAGGTCTCAGCCTTGTTGTCTGATTTTAGATGAACTGACTATGGCATATGAGACTCATTAGTAGACCAAGAGTATGCAGATGATACAGTCCTGTCAGGTGAAAATGCTGACAGAATGAAGAGTCTTTGAGACACATTAAGAGGGCGTTAAAGAATGTCTGAGATGCATAGTCTCACCACCCCACTGCAAAACGCTACTCCATGACTGACTCGCTAGCGTTGGTACCTCGTTTAACAGTAGGGAGTGAACTGATTGAACGAGTTGGCCAATTCACTTACTCAGAAAGTCTAATCCAACCAGACCGGTGTATGATAGAAGAAATATCTGCACTGGTACAAAAGCCTAGCTTAACTTTTGCCAACTTACGTTCGACCATCATTACCCTCACCTTCATAGGATTGACCGTGGATCGTAGAATTATATCAGTAATACAGAGTTCAGGTGTAGAGACGAAGCAGCAAGTCAGTCAATGGTGTTGCGAACCTCTATCACCCTACATGCATGGGACCTGTTTTACGCATACCTAGTCACTGTATACCTTGGAATAATTTCAGGCGGGAACCTCGGTTGTGCATTTGTGTTTTTATGACTTATCATAAGAATTTCACTATCGTTTTATTCCTTCTTCTTCTCGTCTTGCGGATTTCTGCCACTTTTATTTGCGTCCCTATCTATCTTTCTATCGTTCTGAAGCCTTCAATCCTGATGCGCTGATGTAAGGTGAGGGGAACTGGGCTGTTACTTGGTAATACAGGGTCCCACGCTGATGTCTCACTGGTAAGATGTTTGTGAGTACAACAACTAGGCAACTGAATCACATTCTATCGGCCGAACTATTCTGAGTTAAATTACTTAGAAATTTATACAGATTCAAGAAAACAATCAAGTGCCTAGACGGTGGAAAATCTCAACAATATGAATCAATAAACTTACTGAAAATGAAGTTTTTGTATGAATATAGGAGCGATAAACTTGAAAATCATATTAGGAAGTATATCTGCTAGTAGAACGCTCTATAAAAAAGGAAGTGTAACTAATATTCGTCTAAGAAAAAGCGAAAACTTACACCAGTTCCAATTTTTGTACAATTTACATGATGTCCACTGATATTTGAGGTAAAATTGTTTTGTGGCTAGAAAATGAAACCAATTGCAAAATGATCATTAGTAAACATGGCTACATAATTATATTCTGTAACAACATAGGAACTTATCAACAACACCATGTGTAGAGCTATGTTTCAATGGTTTGAGGTCATAAACAACCAATGGGTCGCGAGTTCGAACCCTACTCCACTTACCAAGGTTTGAGAAGCCAGATAAAATTTCCATTAGCCATCACACAATAGGTGTGGCTCACTGTCTACTGCACGAATGTGCACGAGGTGGGTGAGTGCGTTTGGTCTCGTTAATAACACCACGTTAACTCAATAATGACCAGTTACAACACTTAAGTCATCGGCGAAATGGTCGCAAGAAAGAAACTAAAGCTGATTGTACACAAGTTGGTCACTCGTAAGTAATTCATGTAGAGCTATCTGATGCTTAGCCCTGAACGAGGTCTATCAACCAAATGTTTTGCAATGTGGCTGCCAAGCAAACTGACGCGGAACTGCGGTGCAATGTATTGTATGTTAGGCCATTATCATCAATATCAACATAGCAGCAGACATTACTGAGTAACAGTTCAAACTGCCACACCTTATATCAGCACATCAAGTAACAAAGCACTAAGATGAACGATGAAGAAATACAGAAGAATCGGTCAAAAGTAGTAAAAGAGGAAGGAGGGATGAAAAAATGCAGAATTCAGAATAGCGGTTAAGACGAAAATAGAGAGTAGATCCATCTGCACCTTTGACATAGATTCTAAGTCATGTCACCTAGTCTTCAGCCACTGGTTCCTGTAGTCATGTGAACTCCAAAGGGCTAGTTTGCATCTCAATATATCCCTCAAATCAACAGTCCAAGATTTCACGCACGGATGTCATGTTTTAGTTTGAACGCCCTCCCTCCCAGACTTTTCTCAGCCTAAATATACTTCAGTTAACATTGTGCGGCAAGGAAGATGGTGACTAGGTATGTGTAACACATAACCTAGTCATCTCAGTCGATAAAGGTTCACAACCTCATCAACTGACTTTTCTCTCTTCCCTAAAACCCTACACCGAACTTCTACGTTACTGACGTGGTAACACCACGCCACTTGGTGTGTGATACAAAGACAACAATGGCCAAGTACCAGAAGCCTCTTCATGTCCTCTACCTTTAATGACCATGCTTCACAAACCATAGGGTAGAACAGAGCAAACCGCAAAATAGTACACTCGACCCCTAATAGACAATCAGATACAATGGTGGTGCCACAGGTGACGTAGATTAGCAAGAACCAATAGTCTTTCGTATTCATGCAAAGATTTCGACCGCCACTGACCCACTAGGGTTGATCCCACTTCCCAGTCAAGTGAAGTAATCAACACAATCAACCACTTCACTCCTCATTGTTAGCTAGGGCACCGATGAAGACCAGTCCTGGAGAAACAATTTACATTTGTGTAGTGAAACACCCATATCCTTGACACTTATTAAAAGGTGGAATTGGCAACAGCGCTTACGAGGGTCAAAAGTTACTCCCTATGGTGATTCTTATCACTTATTATAGGTGGATATCGCACTTTTCAGTTGGTCCTAGACAAATAAGGAAGTAGAATTATTGATTGTGCATGGACATTTGTAACGTGCTACCGTGACTGAGTCTAGCCTGATTGGTCGGTTGATGAGTGTTGGCATATGTTGAACTTAACTGTCTGAAATTTTACCTCTAAAGGGATATTTAACTGTCATTGGTTGACTTCTTGCGTTTGTATGCAGTATGCTGAGGTCACTTTATGACTGGTTGATGCTTTACACTGTAGGTGGGGGGTGCTTTACACTGATCAATCGACTTGATGTTCTTTGCCGTTCCAGGTCGGTTGGTTTCTATTGAAGAGGTGTTCTTCTGGATTGATTGGCTAAGTACAGGAGTTCGGTTAGGTATATGTGAGATATTTAGATATAATTCATTGAGGGTCTTCTTGCCTCTACGTTGGTTGATTAAAGTCCTTGATTTCATTTGAAAAGGCTCATATGTTGTGTCTAGATCGACGTGGCGACTTATCGTTAATTTGCGTGAATTCTAGGCTAGAAGTTCTTTTTTAGCTTTCAATTCTAAACTCTCATGAATTTTGAAGTTGTCCCGGTAGAACATGTAAATGTGATTGTCACAGAGTATTGAGATGAGGGAATTCATATTATGACGCTTGACACGTAGCTAATGTCCATGCAGGCATTGTAATATTCATCTACCTTATTATTCCACTAGTGGTGTCCACAACCATTGCAGTTGGATTTCTGTATTACGTTGGTCATTTCTCCTTTTTTGAATGGTTGCTTCGATTTGCATATGTTGTAGCGACATTGCTGGTTTATGTGACACTTCGATTATTAAGTGGCTGCAGCGAGCTGGTTGTCGTTTCGTAGATACTCTCTATGTATAAAATGACGATTCTCCAGTAAATTATCGTTGCAGATTTTGATTTATTTTGGAAAGTTATCTCTTGATAAAATTCCTTGGACAGACGTTGAGCTGGAAGATTTCGAATAAACGTTCTCACGCACACATTTTTGATCTTACTATACCGCTGTATGTCCCTACCTGTGTTAAAGATTTGCTGCGCAGCTTTTCTTGTTCGATACTGTCCTCTTAGGTGAAGATGCTGACAAAATGCAAGATCTTCTGAACACGTTGCGTGGAAATCTGAATATGTTTGGAATGGGTCCCACATCTGTCAAGTATAAGACTGGTCTGCAACTACTCCAAATTTAGTGATAGGGAGTGGTAGAATGTGTCATTCACTTCACTTACTTGGGGAGTTGCATCAACCCGAATGGGCTGATCGCTGACAAAATGTCAGCTCAGATACAGAGGGCCCGTTTGGCATTTGCCAATTTGTCTCATTTGTGATCCCGACTGGCGAGATATCCAACTATCTATCAGAGGACGAGTATATTGAGCTGCTGCTGTCCGTTATGTCCTCATGTGGCCGTGAAACATGGGTGTTAAAAAGAGGAGACATGAAGCGGTTACAGGGTTCTGATCACAGGTGTCTTCGTAGCCATCATCATCAATTTCAACATAGGACCAGGCATTACTGCGTAACGGTCCACGTTGCCACACCCCATATCATTACATAAAGTAAACAAGGCAGTGAGGTGAAACATGAAGATAAGAAAATTCAGTCAAAAGAAATTTAAAGTACGAAAAGAGAGAAAGGAAGAATGAAAAAATGGTGAGATTCGGTATAGTGTTAAGATAAGGATGTGTGTATACATCTGCGCCACTAACTTCGATTCCGAGCCATATCACCTAGAGTCTCCAACCACTGGTTTCTCTTGTCCCACCGACACCAACCAACAAGTCTGCATCGCCCCACATGGCTCAAACCAACAGTCAACGACTTCATACATTGGTGCCATGTTTTAGTCTGGCCACCTCGGGCCTTTTTCCAGCCTGGACCTACTTCGGCCAACATTATATAACGAGGCAATCGGTGACTGGGCATGCGTAACACGTGTCCCAACCATCTCAGTCGACGAAGGTTCACAACCTCGTCAACTGATTTATCTCTACTCCCTAAAACTCTATACCTGACTTCTGCATTACTCACGTGATGACACCACGAAATACGGCCTATACTGTTTTTGTAGTATTGATCGCGTTTGGGTGGATCATCATATGAGTAATATTAAGGTCATTTGAAGGGTACTAGGCAAGATAAGCAAGTCGATGGATGAAGTTATGAACCTTAGTCGACTGAGATAGCTTGAAGACATGTTGTGTATGCTGAGCCACTACGATGTGCCATGTTACAGAAAGTTGGATTAGAGTGGAAGAGGGTTCAGAGTGAACAGACCAAGATGTGAAGTCCTTGACTGTTAGTATGAGCCGTATATGGGAAGTGCAGACTACCTGATTGGGGTGCCCGAGAACACTATCAGTTTGTGACAGCGATAACTCGAGTTGCCTCAACTTAGTTATTCCAAATTCATATACTTTGTTTAAATCTACATTCGATTACATCATCTCCCACCTTCTATCATCGTTAAGTAACACATCTGAACCAGGGTTATGCGTATCAACGTTGGGATTGATGGGTTTCAGTGAAGATTAGTTTTCACAAGCTTCAACAATCGATTACTTTGCTTTGTGATAACACTAATTCATGGTTTTGACTTCTTTTAGCTGACTGAGTAGTTTGAGATGACAGAGAATATTTTTAGCTCAGGAGAATGATCTTGATGGCGTTTTGTTTTCTGAGCTGGATAGTTTAAGTGTGAAGCTTTCATTTTCATTCTAGACAACATCACCATAAACTCCAAAAAGAAGTGAGCTATGGGCTTTTTTCCACAAGTAGCTTAGTAGCTTGTCCTGAAACCCTTGTGTGTGACTGGTTGGAGACCCACTTCATGTAAGGTATGATAGTCCATCTATTGCTTCCGAAGTACAACTTCCTGGTTGACGACGAAACAGGCACTCATCCTTTGAGGAAGTGGCGTCGACAAACGTTCTGCTGGAAAACAGTCACTGGTTTTATTCTTCTCTCCACAAACTTAATGTAATACAGTGTGCTTTTTAACTTAGAACAATGTAACCACAGGATTATATTCAAACAAACGCTCCACAACTTATATCAATGTATTTATACCATCAAAATGACCGATCAAGATGGTCGTTAATTCGTTGAATTCGGTGCATTTGTCAGCATCCAAACAATTAACCAACTGAATGCTTTAGGTTATGATATATTACAAACTTATGCAACATGGCATAACTTGTACCAACATACAAGTTGATTATAATACAACTAGCTATCTTACATGTTCATGTTTTCGTATAATGTCGACAGCTGCGCTTAACATAATCACATAGGCGAAGTTATTACATAATCCAAAACACCTAAAAGTGTAGAAGTTTAAACACTTGTTATACACATACCAAAATGCTATGACATTTCGAAATTTGCTGTAAGTAGGACGACAACAAAATCTACAACACACTAAAATTTATTTTTAGAAATATAATTCAAATTGATGATTACCTTCATACATTGCGGAAGAAATCACTGACAAACAAATGAAGACTTGTACCCACTTTATGCCATAGAAAAATTATGTTAAAATGTGAATAATGCAGCGTTCAACTGAAAAAAAATAAAAAGATAATATATCAACAGGAATTAAACAATTAACTGTACTTCCTAGATTTTGTGCATGATTCAGAGTACCAAATAAAGACTGTTAATACGATATCCTAAAGCAAAATAGTGTACACACAAGCAATGTAGAACTGTGAGTCTTCATTGGTTTTTAGTCATGCCGTTTTAAAATTCTCGTGGAATTCTGAATCTAGCTTACAAAACTTGTGCCTTAAATGGCTGGTCTATGATGTCACCGCAGAACATCACTTGATGTACGCAACTCACTTGACATTTCACTGTAGATTGAACAACACTCATTGATGTTCAAATAAGTAGCATTCAATGGAGAATATAACTATCCGGCACGATTTTCAGTCAGAGACGATGGTATAAGACTTCTCGATCAAAGGAGTCGACTGCCGCCTTCAGATCAAAAACTGCAGCTAGTATCTGGTACTGATAAGTGGTGTCTGCGTTCAAACGTGTGCTGAAGCGCAACGATCTGGTCTTACCACTATTCAACAAGCTTTCTTTGTATGGTACAACCTCAAAAAATAGCGCGTTAAATGATAGCAATATATGCAAGCAATATCAATAATTCAAGGCTACATCTATCGGTAAGATTCCTTTTTCGACGGCGTGTATTCAATATTTACTGTAGTAACTCAGAAGCTCTCCAACAATTTTTTTTATTCTGTGCGCTAAGTACTTTACACGGACAAACTCTGCAGTTTTTAATCTAAAAATATGAAAATATCCGAAATTTTATGAGAATTATAATTTAGTTATGCTACCCAGAAACTTAATACAAACAAATAGAACATATACGCATACTGAACCTTAGTGCTACTGATTTTTTCGTAACCCAATGAAAAATAAAACGACTCCTCTATACCGTGTACCATCCTATTTCAGTGGCAGTGATTTCTCCTATTCGTCTAATGTGAATGAATGACCCGGACAATCTTCAGGGGGTAGGTTCTTACTGTGATTAGTCAAACACTTGGTCAAATCATTCGATGCATATCATGAACCAATAAATGATGTATGGAACGATTTTATTTAGGTAGGTAGCTAGGTATAGACGGACTGAAAAAAAACGTAGAACCCGAAATAAAATTGCGCCAACTCAAGTAGCCCCACTTTACAGTAGCATGTAAAGGAGAGATGAACAGAAAAGCTACACTAAGGTGCACAGAAGTGTAGTGAAAAGAGTGAAAATATTCAGTTTTTTAAGCATATCTGTGCCCATGTGACAGACGTTAAAACACGTCAGAAAAAGTCCCTAACCACTGACCATCAACGCCTCAGCGACCTCGTACACGCAACCTACAATGTCCTGCACGGCTTATGATAACAATTAGAGGCTTTGTGGACTTATAACACATCTTGGTCTGACCACCTTCAGTTTTTTTAACAAAATGCTTCGGCTAATATTACAAGTAGAGGCAGGAGTAGTCAAAACCATCTCGGATAGTAAAGGTGCACAACTTCATACACTGATTTGCATTCTTTGCTCAGTACCTCACGCCCTACCTAACAATGCTCACACGCTGGTCTCACCAAATAAGAACAATACTACTAAAACCCTGTAGTCGAAAAACTGTAAGTCTTTTAGATCCTTTACATTAAAACATTGTCATACAGATGCATAATTAGAGGAAACAAACTCCAGTACAGCATACTCGGTCCTTCTACTGATAGTCAAATATGTTCCGTGTCCCAAAATGAGATTTTGTGAGAAACCGACCAGTTTAATCTCATGCACATTCCCAAATAAGTGAAATTTTCAGCACGTTCCACTACTCCTTACCCTTAAACTAGGATTAGGAGCAGATCACCTTCTAAGTATCGTCGTACATTTATCAGATGCAAAACGTATCCCAAACACACTTAGATTTTTACTTAAGGCGTCCACAAGACTGGATTTCGTCAGTACCACCTGATAGGCACATGTTGCCCGAGTACCCCAAGTCAAATGAGTCCCTCAAAGGAATATCAGATTCTGAGATGTCAGTGATACATAGAGACGTGTCCTTTAGCACGCATATAAAAAATGACAGTGACTTCATACAGCAAAGTGAGAATTAGGTACTTTATGGTTGGATTTTGTCATATCGTGTTGACAGATATGACAACTATTTTCCTCGATTTTTAAGACCAATATCTAGTGGCGTTTCAAAGTCGGAGCCAAACAAGCGTACTAACCAAAAATTATTCAAAAAGCAATACAATAAGTATTTCGTTGAATCGAAAGAATAAGATTCACAAACACTCGGAGTGAAATCAGCAGCTAGGAATGGGATGTATATACGCCATTCATTGGCACAGCCATTTAACTCTGAAATTAACAGTCCTAGGTTTAGATCTCACTCCAACTACTTTAGCCTAGACAACCAGGTGATACCTTAAAGCCAGACAAAATAACTGTGGCTCACAGTGTACTAACCAACAACCAACCAAACCTGTATTTGGTAGATGTTACACCATCACGCTATTCAATAACTTAGTGGTAAGTATATAGAGTCAATCGTCTTTAGCATGAGAAATTTATTCTCATTTCTTTTTAATAGAATCATTATGACGACTTCAGAAACTTTTCGATTTAAACTGCAACTGAACAGTACTGCTTTCGATCAATTATGGGTAGAGATGGGTTTTTGAATTATTCTTCCAATCCTCAGAAATGTTGTTTAACTTACATGTAACCTCAGATTTCCTACATTTCTTATAAATTGTTTTGTGATGCTGCTCTATTAAAAGCATAATGCTTTTGATATAGGCTGTGGTAGTGTCAAAAGCGACTCACAATTACTATAGGAGGATAAGTGTACCAAAACTAAATATGATGCATGAGAATTTGTTCTTCTTTCCTGTGGACACCTTCCTATATTTCATTTTCATCGCTCCCATGTCAACTTTTTGTCTACAAACTTGATTATGATAATCAGACTTCATTGGTGCCACGTTAAGAGGATCAGTTACATATTTGATACATATATACAGTTTACCACTAACTTCTTTAAGCCTGTAGTGGCCTATTAATAAAATGAAATAACTTTTAAATTTGTAAAAACCTAAAGGATCATAAGCATCTACAGCTGTTTTCAAAACTTTCACTGGTACACATGGTCAAAATTCACATTGTCTGTGCTTCCAGTGACTATTACTATTAAGCAACTGAACGTTTATTGCACATATTAAACTTACCCACTTACATATGTATCAAAATGGAACATTCTTGAAGTAGTGAAGCTATGGTTCATTGGTTAACTACTTCACTAGTTACTAGCCCGTCCTAAGCCCGGGTAAACAGGGAAGGTTGGGCATAGGGCTAGCAACCCTACCCCGTAAAACAAATCTAACCGCTAAAGAAACTTCAAAGCACAAACAAATATAAAAAATGAAAACAAACTTATTCCCCGCTGGAATCGGAGAGGCGAAATGACGCCAGTTGGTGAAAGCCTTCGGGAAGCCAATTGGCCGATGTGTCTTCTCTCGATGAAAGCGAAAGTAAACGTGGAGACATGGAATGTCCGCACGATGTTTGAACCCAGTAAGGCAGCCCAGATTGCAAAGGAGATGAGAAGGTATCACATCGAAGTGCTTGGATTTGCGAAAGCAGATGGAATGGGAGTGGACTCTCCAAACTGTCAACTGGAGAATCAATAATCTACTCCGATATCGTCACCCAGACGACAACTACGAGCACACTGAGGAAGTGGCTATCATGATGTCCCAAACAACATCGAAGGCTCTCATGCACTGGGAACCAATCTTCTCCAGGATCATGACAGCAAGATTCAACTCAAAAGGAAGGAAGGTCACAATCATACAATGCTACACTACGCACCTACAAATAATGCAGAGCAAGAGAAAAAGGAGGGATTCTACAGACAACTTCAATCAACACTGGACAAGACCTCAGTTGGCGATATCAAAATTCATTCTAATGGACGACGTGAATGCCAAACTGGGAGCGGACAACACAGGAAGAGAACAAACCATGGGTCGAGAAGCGGTCAGGGAAATGAACGAGAATGGAGAATTGTTTGCAGAATTCTGTGCATTCAACGATTTGGTGATCGCAGTGAGGCAGTGTGTTCAAGCACAAGGATATCCACAAAGCGAGAGACATGGATTTCACCAGACACCAGGACACACTAAAAATCAAATCGACTTTATCTCAATCTCAAGAAAATGGAGACGCAGTCTACTTAACACAAGGTCAAGAAGAGGAGCAGATGTAGGCGCAGACCACTATCTAGTGCAAGGAACCTTCCAAATCAAGTTAAAAGCCTTCAAGGAAGCTGGTGATAGACCACAGTTCAAGTACAACACTCGAGAACTGAAGGATGAAACTACACAGGAAATCTTCACGGCAGCCATCAAGACAAAATGGGAGATATCGAGGAACATCCCTGAAGAAACCTGTGTGGAAGAACACTGGAAGTCTTTGAAAGGGAAGTGGAACGAAACCTGAATAACCGCATTAGGAAGGGCGAAGAAAGAAGATAAGGAATGGATCTCAATGGATACCTGGAAGCTGATAGAGGAGAGGAGGATGGTGAAGCAGAAGATAAACCAGTGCAAGGATGCTCAACGACAAGAGGAACTGAGTACAATGTACAAAACACTGGACAAAGAAGTGAAGAAGAGTGCATGGAAAGACAAAAGACACTTCTACGAAACACTGGCAAGTGAAGCAGAACAGGCTGCAGGTAAGAGAGACCTGACAACATTGTATGAAATAACCAGGTTACCATCTGGTAGGGAAGAGATCAACGCAGACGAAACCAATAAATGATGACGGAAATTTAATTACCAAAGAGAAACAAAGGAAATGATGGGCCGACCACTCCAAGAAGTTCTCGAATCGACCACCACCTGCACTTCCTCAAGAAATATCAC